AAGGGAGGTGTGTGTGAAGTTAATGACTTCATAAAGACATATTAGCAAAGTTATAAATGGATTACCTAGAGGCGTTGGGCTGAGTCCTGTTATAATGAGCCATTGTCGCCCTTCTAAAGGATGTTGTGGAGTCCAATAAGACTAGAGATAGTCTCCTAAATTGATTTTTCTTTTGACCCGTGCAACCTTGAGGCCACATTAAAAAATTTTCAAGTGGACCAACTTAAGTCAATCAACCACTCATTGCTCGAAAGAATAAAAAATATCTCCTCTTCCAACCATTACAAAGGGTCAAAACATTATGAACTCAACATCCAGGTTAGGTAGAGAGAAAGTAGGCTGATCCTACGAAGCACAAACTATAATAAGCAAATAGAAGGGTTGAATCTTTGATATTTTTCAACAAATGCCGTAAGAAAGCGTCACGAATTTGATGTTATATGAGTGAGAGAGAACTTCTAGAAGCTGAGAGCCTTAAAAACAAACACAAAAAAAAAAAGATAAAGGGGAAATAAAGTCCCACCACTCGATCGAGCGGATAAGTCCGGCCACTCGATCGAGCAGGCAGCAGCTCATATATGATAGATCTCCCAAAGAAACTCCAAGTTAGAGACCTCTAAAATCGAGTCACACTTTACAATGGGTTTCCATTGCTAGTCCTCGTTAGCACGACTGACTCCACTCCTGAAAGCGCCACTAGAAACAGCAAGAGCGATGACGGGATCGGTGTTCCTCAGGTCTCGCCGCACCATGTGGTAGCCACGCCACCACTCAGACAGCTCCCTTCCAACGTCACATCCTTCTCGCCGAACAAGATGGGACTATGCGAGCAGCACGGCCTGCAAGAGAACCTTCTTCGCCATTAGTGCACCTCTTGTCATATAAATCATCCACAATTCCTGCCTTCACTATATGTAAGATCTGCAACACATTCTAGTCATTTACATCATCACAAGATCCACAACACACCATATAAGTTCACAGAATTATAATCAAAGAACATTTCTACTAAAGCAGCATAAAGGGATCCATCATAGCATGTGATTCACAGAAGAGACATCCAAGGAAACATTTCTACTACTTAGCAGCATCCAAAGATCTAACACACCATATAACTAAGAGAGATAACAGAAAAAAGAAAATTTTCTACTAGTAAGCAGCATCCAACAATCCAACAGACCATATAAATTCATAGAAGAGACATTCAAGGAAACAAATCTACTATTAAGCAGCATCCAAGGATCCAAGAAAGCATATAAGATCATAAAATAGAAGATTAGTTGTTACTGGAACTTCAAATACATGGAAAATTTATAGCCAAAAATTTTTAGGCATGATAATATCAGCCCAGTTGATCGAATTTCTGTATCCTCAAAGTTCAAGCTTCTTCCTGTAATAAGATAACAAGAGTTGCAAAAATATCCTGTCCATGTGGGATGCTTCTGCTGGTGCCGAAAAACCATCACATCTGATGGGCATCAACCTTCACTGATGAGACATCAACCACATCAAACCAGGACAATTAATTTAAAAGAGGAACCTCCACCACATGAAGAGAATCCACACCCACCTTTTTTAGGCATCAGCCATTCCTGATGAGGAATCAATCATAGTCAACCAGGATGATTCATATAAAACAGAAACATCCACTATCCACACCTATCTTTTGTAGGCACAATTCATTTTTGAGTTCAGAGAACAAAAAAAGAAGAAAAAAGAATGTGCCTTTATTCTTTCTCCACTGAACTGATGTCTGAGAAATCTATCTACAATTCCACTGAACTGATCTCCAGTAGACAAGTGAAAGATGTTCCACATTTATACCACCAACAAATGGACTTAAATAACAGAATTTGATGCGCTCTACTAGAAACATTAAAAAGTAAGCTCTCCCTCTACGAGCCTCCCATCAATGCCAAATATAAGGGTCCAATATAAGCAATCTTATCCCTACATGTGAAATACTATTAAAAAGACAACAATTAAATCACAAAATTTAGTTGAATGATTCTTCAAATATTTTTCCATCCTCAAACTACTTCATGATCAACAAATAATTAATGAAATGACTTTTCCCGAATGAGTCATGACTAAAGATTAATAAGTTCAAACTTATGGCTTTGTGAATGGCACGTACAAAACAAGCTACCAAGCGGTGTAGTAGACACCTTTCTTTATCAGTGTATCTAGGTGATACAAACGAAAGTTTGTCAGGATGTTCTTTTCTGCTAACTTTGGTCTGACATCAACATCAAAAGAGAAATTATCTAGGGATATAGTTTTCCTGCTATCGATCAATCTTCTTAAGAAAAACACTGTTGTTGTATTTCTAGCTTTTTGAAATAGTTCTGGTTAACAAATAGCATGATTTGAAACAACCAAATACAACTACCATAATTCTGGGAAATGTATATACAAAGAAGGAATAAGGGAAAACAGAAATGAAAGTGTAGAAATATAGAGATCAAGAATAACTTAAGTTACGGTTCATATGTAGAGAAGAGAATATCTAATAATGTGGACAGTGAGTATTTAAACTTTATGAACTTTTTAGTCAGAAAATTACAATGGTAAGCTTACAAATCAACCTTCCCTAAAATTGATCCACCTATTCTAATGTCGGCCGGGATGCTTGCGCTCATACAAACATGATTGTGATTTCTTCTAGTTCATTCATGCAATATGATCTCCAGTTCTCCACTGTTGATATTCTGTGTGCCAAAGAAAAAAGAGACAAGATCTTTGTGTGTTTTCTTGTAGATTTATATGTAAGAATTACTTACTGAAAACTAGAGGATCATACATAAAGCAGTATCCAGATGGCTCACCCACAGTACAGAAGAGCCAGAATTTTATTTATGGAGATGCCAATCTCTGACATCCATATCTTAGTAACTATACGGAGTACTTTCAGGCCGAATTGATCATCATAAGGTGTTTGCGCTTGATGTAGTCTCCAGATTCCATGTCGACATTCTCCTCATAGGTGGTCTCAGACACACAATAGGTGGCTGGTCGGAAACTATCCTCTACTTCACAGGCCTCTTTGTGCTTGTATACTTGGTGAGTGTTTGTGAGGAGAGGTCTTTCAGACGTAGCCTTCTCCAACGAAGAGACATAGGCGTAGTAGTCTCCCCCTGAGGAGATCCTTGCCTCATGGAACTCCACATGGCTTTGCTGTGGGTGGTGGTGGTGGTGGTGGTGGTGGTGACTCCCGAATGACATTTTTGCTACAGACCTTAATATGCTAGGAGGCTTGATGTTTGTTTGGCTCATGGCTCTTCCTTTTATAGTCAAATTATGAAAAGAACTTATTCTCAAAGGATAAGAACACACTTTATACTCCAGTTCGTGCCATCATATCAGGCATCAAATAATAGCAAAAGGAATACGTATTATGATCCCAAGCATTTCAGTTTTACTCTTAGGAACAGAAAAGAAATTCTTGAACTTCCGAACAATTTAACAGGGGAGTCTCAGTGAACAGATATTCATTCTTTTCATTTACCTAACAGATAAAAATAGAAAATACAACTGCTGATCATTTAGTCAAGACAAAAAAATAAATAAATAAATCATTCTTGCATGAGATCACAGGTTCTTGCATGCCTAGTGTTTTCAGGCTCTTGCTGATTGAAGGGGAAAAAAGAATTTTTAGATGACTCTAGCATGAGAGGGTTGATGTTTTCTCCACGAAAAAGTTATGTATGTTTCTTTTATCTTCAAGGATCCAGACACATCCATATAAAAACGTTTATAAATAATAAAAAGGATATTTTTCAACTATTCTCATGCAAAAGCTTGTTATAAGTATTAAAACAAGGGTCTAAAGCTTCAATAACTTGAATAACAAGAATTGTTATTTATGACATTCCTGGTTCTATCAGGTTGTTGATGAAAAAAGAATCTTGAGAGCTCAAGACCAGATATGATAAAAGATGAGAATGTCAATTCAACTGAAGCAAATTGTGGGGTAACAGTACAACTGTACAAGAATATTTAAGGAATACAATCAAGTTCAGTGTAGAGAGATCATCGATGACAGACAATCCAACAGCTAGTCAACAGCTAGTTGGCTCAAATTACAGAAAAACAGCATGGCTTCAGATGTCGATAAGCATCACTTGCATGAATTTCCAAGTGGTAAATTTCAGTTTGGAAGGTTTAGACTATGCTGAAAGGTCAACTGAAATAAATAAAAACACCACAATTTTGGGCTATTGGAGAAGATTTTAAAAGTGTGTTGTCAACTCTTCTTGATTGTTCTCCTTGATCAAGGACTGAAAGAGCAGACTGCTTCATGAGACGGAGTGAAAGGAGAAGTTCCTAAAGAAACTTAAGGAACTTTCAGAATAATTTAACTGTCTGATTGCTATATTTCAATAGACTATCACAGCGCCTCTCTGTGTGTGCAAACATAACTACTCTTAAAGAAGATAGAAAAAGATCAAACAAGATCATATCATCATCAGTTGCTTGAACATCTGACATAAAAAATATGCGACTCTTAAACCTGCAGAACACATAACAACATGTAGACACAATCACATACTTCTAAATACCAAAATAGTAAAAAGAGTGAACTATGAGATTGATGCAGTTTGATTTAAGGGGTTTGACTGAGCCAAGTCTATATGTTCAGGAAATTCATCATTATTCTTTTTTCGTATTGAGAGTTGCACGAGTTAAATATTGCCAATTTGTATGAAGTTATATATGAGATTTGCCTTGGGTCCATAAATACAATATAATTTGTTTATGAAATAAATGATATTTCTTTATACAGACTGCATTACACTTTGTGCATTTGCAGTTATACAGATTGTTGATGCCTAAGATACTGAGATCCTCATATTTTTAGAGAATAATGGTAATGTGAACACATGAAAACATATACTGTGCAAGTTCCATCAAACCGAATTCCAAACTGATAAAACTCTCTGCAGTCAGAAGGAACACAAGCATCTGCGAAAGCAAAGAAGTGAATGTAACTTACTATCACCAAAATAGCTTAGTGGGGCTTCCAAACTTCCAAAGCATACTTAATTTGCACAGTACAAAAAACACAGTTAAAATATCTTACTGATAACAGAAAATGGAGAAACTCTCCTTGTAGCTAGAAACGCTGCAGACACTACTTTGGCACCCAAGTTAGGTGAAGCAAGCATGATTACTTGAGTATCTATATACAATGTACACGTACACCTTAGAACTTCTGCTTTCCAACTTGCCTCAGAAGAGTCACACAAATCAGATCATAATATCAGCAATCATGCCATAAATACCAGCATACTGTTGTTTATTATTTTTGAAAGAGACTCCTGCAAGTGCAATTCCAATCACCCATGTTCTCTTTTGCAATTTCCAGGTAGGAGATATTTGTACTTGTCAAAATTCTGAAGCAGATAAGCAGGAAGATGGACTGCAGAATACGTGTGAGGTATAGGCCCCAGCTTCCCTACAATCTCCTTAAATGTATACTCCTCCGGAAGCATGTCATAAAGGTCTGCTCCTCGGCATATGACATCCTGAATCCTTGATGGATTCAGATAATACGCAAATCTCACACGATCAACATGGCTGTATGCCTTCATCTTGAACACAAACTCGCCGATGTAGCGGAAGCAGAAGCTACAATGCCACCCCGAATCTGACAGTATGTCATCGGTCTGGCGGTAGTGGGCATATCTCGTCTTTCCAGCACGGTACCTATGAACCGAAGCCCTCCAGCTCTTGTTATCCAACAAGAACTCAAAAGAGTACAAGTAATTCCGCAGTCTGAGATGTAGCTTTTCTGGAATGTCATCGCACCACCTCAAGAGGTTAATCGTGTGGCCACTTGGGATCTCATCGACATCCGACATGATCAACAAATCATCATCACCAATTCCTGAAGCCCTGATGAGATGATCCAATGCCACTCTCTGGTAGGACTCCTCAACAAAAGGATTCTCCCCCTTGACGAACCTCCCACCGACAGTCCCGTAATTGAGCCGTGGCTCCACAAACTCAAATTGACCCCGGTTCTCAGCAAAGAAGAAGGGCTTTTGCAGGCCAGTGAAGGTAGAATTAGACTCGAGGAGCACGAATTCCGAAACATAAGGGTACAATTCGTGCCAGCGGATGGCAAGGATGTCCAATTCATTGCTAAAGAGCACCGCATCGAACACGCGGCGGGGAACATCGCGGACTCCCCAGCCATGGAGCTTGCAGAGGTTCTCCATGGAGACATTCTCGTCATAGTAATGGGGGATATCCTTGAACGGCCTCGGAGGGGATTCCCAGAGAGGGCGAAGGAAGTAGGTGATCTTTTGGCCATGCAAGTAGATGCCGACAACAAAGGTCGGGACGACCAAGAAGAGAAGGACTACGGCTCCGAAATTTGAATCCCGGGGGGCGCACCGGAGCTTTGACATGGTCCGTATTGCTCTGCTCACCTGCCCTCATACACAACGACAACGATCACGAGTATGAGGCTCTCTTAGGCAATTCAACAAACACCTCATGGAAAAGACAAAAATTCTCGGAAAAATTAGAGCAAACAGGATCGAGAAGCACCAAATCCAAACGCCGAATTCGATAAGCGAGGAGCGTAGGAGGAACGAGAAAAGGATCATCACCTGAGTGCAGTATTCGTCGCTGGTATCATCCGACTTCTTCGAATCGTAATCTAAACCTTCGAGCATCGCGCAAAGGGCTCCAATTTACGTTTATTATCATTATTATTATTATTATATGGGATTTTCACATATTTATCATCTCAAACTCGAAATTACTTTGTAACCCTTTACAAAATCTTAAATTGTAAACTATATTAGTATTATTTAAAGCTTATATATATATATATATATATATGTGGAGGAATAAATATGAAAATTATTTTTAAAGGGATATACATGTAATTTGACCATATAGTTTTATTTAGAAGGAGAGAGGGAAACGAACGGACGCCGATCAGTCTTCAAACCGAAAGAGTCGCGTGTCGGTTGAGCTCTCGCGTCGATTTATTGGTTTTAATTCTCGGGTCAGATCCAATATGACAACATTATAATGAAAAAGAAATAGTAAATTATCTATTATCCACATGTGATTTTAGTCTATTATCACAAAATAATTATTTATATTTATAATTACTACCATATATGTCAAAATCATAGTGTGTCAACACACACACAAAAAAAAACCAGATTATTAATTGTTTATCGTAATTTTAAAGAATCACAGCAGACTAAATCAATGTATTATAGAAGCTCTGCTAAACTTGTTCTTCTTGCAGTGCAGAGACTGACATGGGGATGCATCATCCCCCTCAGAACAGCACTGCTTTCATGTGGGTCACATCAATCAATATCCACAGAGTAAAGCAACCAACATGAAAAGGATTTTGTTAATGGAAGATGTGTACTCCACAGGAATGCAGATCAGACATGTTCTTTCTTGCAATTCTCTACTTCTTATCTTCTTCATCTATGCCTCAGCTTCCTTCCATCTCCAGAAAAATGATAGCAGCATGCAATGAAACCAAGCAGAGAAACATCAGGAGAGGGTTCACTCTGTCAAAACATAAGCTTGGCAGCAGAAGCCGATGGATTAATTCTTCGATCTCCTGAAGAACTGGGAAAAGTCGAACCATGTATGTGTCAGCTGCATAATTTAATAGTACAAGCCACTGCTTGGGCCCAATACTTGAGCCTTGCTTTTACTGCATCCGGATCATCCCCTGGTATCAACAGAAGAGGAAATTGAATCAGAGATCATGGGATGGCAACTACAACAGATTCACCAAATAATTCTATGATCACATATATCTTTTCCAAGAAACAGGAAGCAATCAAATTCCCCCATTTACTCGATTTGTAAACACAAAGAGACCACTCCTCGTGATTGGTTGAATCGTATTGGGGATAAAAATTGGTCCTTTTTTTCTAGTCTTCGTGGACATATGAAGCAATATTAGGAATGATTTATCCGGATGAACACAAATAAGGGTTGCTTGGAGGAGGAACAACAAAGATGGGACCTTTTGGCTCATTTGTAGAACGCCAAAAACGAATCTTTGGCACAATTAGCAAAGGGGAGGACCCAAGAAAGAAGTTTTACCAGGACCGGAAATCCTCCAGTTGGCGATGGGAGGAGAAGGAGGCGGCGCGCTCAGATCCATGGACTCGGCAGAGGAGGAGCGATCCTGCTGTTGCTGTTGCTCGTCCAAGAACCTCTGGCTCATGGAGTAGCAGAGCTCTAACGCAGGGAGCGTGTCGCAGAGCTCGGGGATCTCCTCGTAGCTGAAACCGAATCCGAGGTCGAGGCACCCCTTGAGCTCATCCAGGTCCTCATCCGTCAAGCTCTTCGTCCTCGCGACGCCGCCGGTTCCCTCCTCTCCGCCGTCCGCCCCGTCCACGTATCCCTCGAGCGTCACCCCGCCGCACTTCCGCGGCCATACCTCCTCCTCCTCCTCCTCCTCCTCCGCTTCCACCGCCAGAGACAGCGTCTCCTTCATCTCCTCCTCCCTCATCGAAGGAAGGGAACCGGTTTCCATGGAATAGCTTCCAATCTCTGTATCTCTCTGGCCGCGGTGTCTGGGCTTTAAATGGGTTCCTCTGATGATGATGATGATGATGATGATGATGGGAAACAGACGGCATGTGATGCCGTTCGAAACACGAGAGGCAACCTGGACGATCAATATCTACTCTCTTTTCTCTCGTACCGTACAAACTTACTTGTATTTTTATTGGATACTTTTGTGTAGGACCCACTTAAATCACCAAATTAAGCCGATGGAGTCGGGAAGACAGGTGGCTCCGTCGGGCTTTGCAGCTCAATCCAACCTGGGTTTCGCGTTGGGTTTGCTGCCTCCGAGTGCACCAGTGGGAACGAGACGCATGGCTTTCAGCCCACGCGACAGCTTGTGGTGGAGCGGCGCCGCTTTTTGGGGCCCACCCTCTTTCCGTCCACACACGTCTTTTTCTTCTTTTTCTCTTTCTTTTTTTTTTTTGAGAAAAACCCAGGCTTAAAAAAATATAATATATAGTCAATAAAATACAGATAAATCATTTCATGTTTATATATATATCTCTCTCTCTATATATATATAAGGTAATGTTGCTTATATATATATATACTCTTCCTTCTTTTCATGAAAATAGAAAAACTGTCCCTTCATTTCGTGTTAATACAAACCACACAGTCATTCTTCTATCTCCAAACACTTCGGGATACACATCAGCACTCATCTTTCTTGACAAAGATTGCTGAAAAGTGATTCATTTCAGTAACAATGATTTGGACAACCAGCTTTAAACCAGTGGTTGAGGAACATCACAGCATGGGGCTGTCTTGAATCTGTGTATGGCAGCAAACTGAAGCTGATTTGCCAATCCTCCCCTTGGAGATGTTTAGAGATAAAACAGTTGACACACGTAATCTCAGTCATTCTCAAGACACTAAAAACACTATTTATATTTTTTTTATCCTACCTTGTGGTTTCAAGCAAGTGAAGGATGATCAAAGGGGGCAAATTTTAGCATCCAAACAACAACTCATGTATATTGCTGTGAACAGAAGTTTAAATGAACTGCAAGCTGCATTGGATCACTAGCTAGCTTTTGGTCAGGAGAGATGAGCTGTTTTAGTACCAAGAGGGATATTAAACTCACATTGTGAGCAGCAGACTAGATTATCTAAAGTTAGCCTAATGATCAAACAAGCAGCCACATGATTCCCTCGATTGATGATAATTATTACTAAGGCAATCAATGCCTTTGGCATATGATGAGAAGCTTGATGTTAGTTAGACCTAAGTGATAATTATTTCCCCAAATCATCATCACCAACAAGGATAAGCAATTGGTGTTTCTTACTATTGATGACTTGATAGTTCCAAATGCAGGTAGAGATCATTTAGGAAGGCAGAGTTTAGTGCACCATACATAAATCTACTCATGATATATTTCTACATTTGATATCCATGACCTTGCACTGGGCCATACATCCAACTAACCTACTAAGCTGCAAGCTGCAAAAGGATCTACCTACCTGTCCATACTCATTGTGTGTCCATTATTATCCTCAAAAAAGACAAACCAGAAACCATAATTTTTTTTCTTTTTTCTCTGTCACAACCACAACAATTGGATCTACAAGACTTTTAACAGATAAAGGACAAAGAAGAAGAAGAAGAAGAAGAAAGAAAAGATTTCCTGTTCTTTAATGATCATGTGGCTCAGGAGAAACAGAAGATTCAGCAATCCATATGAATTGTTCTTCTCATGAGTACCCGACTCCCAACTCCTGTCTTTGGAAAATGTGACATGTGGGCCTTTCTTTTAGTCCACTCCATTTCTTTATCTTATGATGTTGATGCTAGAACTGCAGTTGCAACCATTAATTGGCAGTCCAATATTCTAATCCATACAACTCAGCCAGGTCAATCCAATCAAACTATTGCTCATTTGTTTCTCTAGAAGGATCCACTTGCGTTTTTCTTTTCCAACCTCCCCCTGGCTTCGAGTGCAGCTGGCAGCTGATCAATGATGAGGCATTAGCTGTGACAAGTCAAAGGCAGGCAGAACATAAAGCCATGAGGTGGACTGATCGACATTTCTCCTGCAAGTTCATGTAGATAAACAACCAAAACAAACAAACAATGTGGTACATGAGCAAGTGACGATCATATAGGCTTGGATGATGCCAACGAGATGCTTTTGGGATCATCAAATGCGTCTGAATGAAAGAAGAATTGCACACTCTTAATTTTGTAGAAAATAACTTCAATTTGAGATGGTCGGCCAGTTGTGTGTTTTACTTATTACTTGGTTTTGGGGTTCCCATACATGCCTTTGGCAGTTTATGATTAATAATGAGGGACATGCATTCAGAAATCAGAACTATTACTGATCTTGCAGTAATTTTAATTTTATAAAAGTTCTGTATAATGGAAAGCATGCAATATCTACCCATTATAATGTTATCCATTCTCCTAAGAAATTCTTACCATTGTCATGAGTACTATTTTTCAATAACTCCATCATAAATGCTTTTTTTTTTCCTCTAACTCTCCATGATAATAAGTATGCATGAATAAGATATGAAATTTAATTAAATATGGATATTGAGAAATCAGTTTATAAAGGATAGACTTGTTTGAGAAACTATTATATTTATTGCACATTGCCTAAGTATGAGCTCAACAAGTTATCAAAAAGATTCCAGTTCATCCAAGCTGAGTTGATGAAATTGATGAAACATGCTTAACCAAATAACCCAGAGAAAAAAATAGAAAGAAGAAAAGAAAGTGGTGAATTGAGTTTAGATTTAACTGTGATATATCATAATCTTTTTATGAAAGCTTGGTTATTATTTTGATCCAATATATCTAAGATGAAAATTCTTCTTAAATTTTAGCAACAGAAACACTTACAAAATGGATTCACTCCGTGCCTGTAAATGCAGGTGAAATATAATGCTCATCTCCTAGAAGTTAGCTGTTACATCAATTTCAAACTTCGATAAGTCAGAGTTGGCAATATAAAAAGTAATCTGCCTAGAAATTAGCTGTTAAATCATTTTCAAAGTTTATCATAAGCCAGAGCTTGCAACCAAGTAGCATGTTTCAAGATTGAGGTTAGGGGAAGCTAGTAGTTCATATGAAGTTACTACAAAAATATAATGGATTTAGCTACTGATAACCATACACAATCAAGGAGAGCACAGACAACACAATTTATTACCATGTAAACTTTTTTTTTCCAATGTATTCAGCAGTAATATAGCAACTCAATGGCCTGGCAACAAGAACATAAATTTTGAGCCAAAAATTTTCCAATCAGTATAAAAGACTAATAGTACACATACCTAAATTAAATTAACTAAACATGATTGTAAACAGTGTCACATGATCAAACCTTGGGCTCAACCAACATCCATGTTTTGACTCAAATGATACACCAATCAACAACTATAGCAATAATGTGTTTGATAACATGATAAGCAATAATATCTTGTTGGATCTAATTATTAGACTTCAATCATGGATACATATTTTCAGATTCAAACCCGAATACTATAAGATAATGCATACAAGTTCAAGATGCAAAGCTGACCCCATAGCTAAATGGATTAATTTTGGCATTCTTATCATAAAACAAGGTCAGATTTTGTTCAGGTTTTGTTGACACTAAGACTGCCATGATAAAAGCTTAATATCCCACAGGAATGCCCCATATTAGTATTCTTATGCTGGACATTTAACTCATATCCCTGTAATTAAGAAAAATAATAGTTCTATTATTAAAAACTAAATATATAGCATGCATATATGTTATCTAATTATGCAAAGTACTCAGATCTTTAGCACGGAGATATATCTCAAACATCTCTATCCCTAAACAACGGCACTAGAATTAGATTATATGGATGACAGAGTGAGGTCCAACCTCCTTGCCATGTACATTAAGTTCATTCACCTTCGACAAATGCATATAACAATGCAGTAACATGCATGCCAAGGTTATGTTCAAACCCCTTTATCATCAAGATGTTATGTCACCTCAACTATCTCTGCCATTGAAAACATAGGCATAGTTTGATGTATTATGTGATATGGAATCCCAAGGGTCAATAAGCCATGCGAGAGAGGACTAATAATAGGTAAAAAGTATAAGTTTGAAGATTTTCTGTTGTAAAACAGGTCCTGAAACTGACACTTCCTTGGTTTCCTTACCTGGTTAAGCAGTAGCTTCTCCTGTCAGTATATTTATAATCTACATAACAAGAAAAAAGATTTGGCATTGATCAGATAATTAATTCATCCAAATATGGATAACTATTTTATTAGAACATCAACTATCATTAAGAATGAACATACAAGATATAAGTCTTGCTATGTTCTTGGAAAATGACACGCACGAATGTCTAGCAACATAAATACAAAGTTAATCTTAAGATGACTTGTTGCTATTGCCTTCTGAAAACCAGAAACTTGAAAAGATAGATTGGAATTCCAGATGCTGTCTGTGAACCAACTCTAGAATCCAATGCTGTGATCATCTGATCCAGACGCTGTTGTAACAAATTCCAGAAGGAAAGACAAGTGCTCAAGAAAAGATGAATGCACAAACAATCCTAAATGGCCATTATCAGTCAACATTTTATCTTTACTTTCATTAGTTATAAATGACTACGAATCAGAATTGAACCATGTCAGTTATTACCTGATGACCTTTTCTAGTAGATGAAATTGTAGTAGCAATGAGTTGAGTTCTAAACTAACAAAACCACAAGTCCCCACTATTTGGGATCATATGTGGATTTTTTGTCATCATTGAGAGCTGAAATCGATTAATATCCATGTTCATGAGATTTGACATAATTTTATGCTAGTTGTCAGTGACTTAACATAACCCTCCACCTTTTTCATCCAAAGATAGCCTTATCCTAGAACAATATTCTAACTCTATTCCTTTAGTTCTAAGCTAAAGGCATGAATTGAGAAAGAGAGAGAGAGAATACTGTTCTAGGTTCAGACTATCTCTGGATAGTTTTGCGCTAGTTGTCAGTGACCTAACGCAATCCTCCACCTTTTTCATCCAAAGATAGTCTTAGCCTATAACAGTATTCTAACTCTGTTCCTTTAGTTCTAAACTAAAGGTATGAATTGAGAAATAGAGAGGGAGAATACTGTTCTAGGTTCAGACTATCTCTGGATATGAAATACAATTTGAGCAAATTCAGCATAAAATCGAAGGTTTGTTGCAATATATGATCAAAGCAATAGGCAGAACTTCTGTCACTTCTATAGCAAGAAGAAGTAAAAGATATGACAAGAAGCAAAGAAAACCAAAAAGGATCTGCAAAGCTATTCATTGATAGTAGGACCCAAGGCACAAAAGTTTTTTTAATTGCATCAAAGGACCTAATATCTTTGTCCATTCTCACATATTGAAATTTAAATAATATTTCTAATATTGAATACTAATTAAGATTTTTCAATATCTATCATAAGATTGGATATTGGATAACACTTCAAAATTTTCAATAAGTCTTCGATTAGGGAAGACCCCAATTATGACAAGGTATAGATCGAAAGCCCATATTGAGAGAGAGAGAGAGAGAGAATTCTAGTTAAGTTTACAGCATTTATTAAATGAAATTATTTAATGTAATTCCAAGAAATGAAAAAGCTTCTGAAGAGTGATTTTCAATATCTGTATATCCGTGTCAAAAGAATAAATCTTTAAAAGGAGAAGACTGGACCTTAGGAACCAGCCATGTGGAACACCTATGTATAACGACATCGTACATAGTTTCCTTTGCTGAACTTCTGATTCTTTTGTAATCCATGATAGTGTCATTTATAACATGAAATGCTGCCTCTTAACATGGAGTTCCTCGGGCAACTCTTTGCCGTTAGGTCTCTTGGAAGTATTGTCTGAGGAGGTCCAGACTCTAGAGCATCTGCATATTAAGACACATGGTTAATGCTGAACTGTCATATAGAATATAAATTGAACTTAAGCTTTGATCAAACAAAAGTTACTCTAAGGTTTCCTTTCCCTTCACTAGAGTGCTCTGGCCCTGCAACACAAGGCATAGTAAATCTGGTAATCTGACATGGAGGAAGGATCAGTTATTTCTTCATACAAAATAATATATAGAGCAAATTATAAATCCCTCCAGTTTTTAGGTTACAAAAGAAAAGCATAACCCCATGCCATTCCAGGAAACAGCATGGACTTCTAGACAAACAGAGAGTCCTTTCAGCTTTAGATAAATAGGCAAATAGGATGAATGCTCATTAAGTAACAGAAAGAAAAAAGCATGTTGGTATAGTTATTGGGCATTCATGGCATGTAACTTAACAAGCCTATTCAATCCATGTCAATTTACCTGGCAATAGCTGGTCCTGCCTAGGAAGAGACACTTCTTACATATTGTTTGACAAAAATAATTTTGGGGACATTATATAGTTCTTTGGTGAAAGCTTGTCTGAGACAATGGTTGATCAAACAAAGCTCATAGTTCTCCAGAAAAGTATAATAGCTTTTATACAATATGGCGACAAACTTCCTTTTAGAACCAAACATCCTAAGAGTTACATATTTACTGCTAGAAATGAGCAGGTACCGATTCATCTTGAAACACCGGCATTGGTTCCTTGGGAACCAAAGTTCCATAATTACTACATGCTTGCTGATAGAAAAGACCATTTGCTGCTCTCATCTCTGATTGTGCATCAGCCTAAGTTGACAAGAATTTGACAGCCCTCCATGTGAACACACATTATCTGGCAGCTCATTCGTGCAACATATAAATGAGCCTTCACAAGCTCCAGTATGATTTCTAAGATGACCAGAATGGTAAGTGTCCACACTATCTTGCATATCCTTAAACATAGGAAGGTTATTTTTATCGGGAACATCATTCAGTGTGTTGCATAAAGCCTTAACTTCAACATCAACAAAATCGACACATGCAGTCTTAGGAGTGGAGCCATCATTTGTCACAGGATAAATGCCACCATCATCCTCGTTAGTAATAGATCTCATAGAAGCATTAGGTGGCGATGCATTGCCCTTAAGCATCGTAAAGGAAGCATCAAAAGAGTCTTGAGTTAACAACATCCCTTCTCGGGCGCAAGGTGCAGTATCAAACGCCAGGTGGTTTTGTGTGGAGTAAGCTGCACAGGAAGATGAAACCACTTGATTCTCCTCCAAACATACTGATAAACAAACAGGAACACTGCCTGATGTCGAAATAGAAAATCCAGATGTCACTACAGTTGTATTGGGTGGATATGCCTCAGAATTACAATTTTCACTGATAACTGAACTTGAGGATGAATTAGTACAGCCAGTGTTCTGCTCAACTTCAATGCCTTGAAGGTCCATCCCAGTGTCATCAATTGGCAATATTTTAATATGATTGTCAACTTCTGGAGAATCACTGATATCTTTCGACAGAGTCCTTGTCTCATGTTTTGCATTCTGATGGACACACATTTCGTCCTTCATGCTATTGATCCATTCTAACGGACCAGAATTTAAATCAACATATAAATTAATTCCCCCTTCTGACATCACAAAGAATTGAAGGGTAGGGGTTCTTGTAGAAATTTCATCAGAAGATACAAACCCACTTTCCATGGAGTATTCATGAAGTTTATAATGTTCACATGGCATAGGAACTGTATTATGAGTTTTAGTGTCTCTAATAGCATCATGGATCAGTTTCTGCTCTTCATTTCTTGGTCTCACCAAATTTTCAAATTCACTTCTAATATTCGTTTTCTTGCACTCCAGACCAAGAATTTGGGTTGTTCTAGTCTCTTTCATATCAGCAGCAACACATCTTTTTACTCCCTTGTTACAATGTTCAAAAGTAGAATAACCAATACTTTCAGTACCATTACTATTAGCAGGCCATGATGGACATAAAGCATTTGTAACAGTCTGTGGCAGCAACAAAAAACATAAATCTTCATGGAAAAGTCATTAACTGAGCAAACAAAATGTCCTAAATGAAATTACATGAAAAGAACCTAGTGTGAACTAAGAAGTACAAGCAATCAAACACAATTATCTATACCTTTCCTGAAGTTGGACTGACCATGTGGTCAATAACATCTATTTGATTACCAGTATGATAGAATGGTCGTTCATCACCTCGAATTTCATTAAAACCTGAAGACAGTCCATGTGTATCAACCTTGGAAGAATTAGCTTTTGGTTCTGATACAAATGATTTTCTAGAAGATCCATCCATCGAATTAATTGAATTCTCCAACAAAGCTGCTGAACTGGCATTTCTTTTCTGCAAAAAACATAAGAAAAGCATTTAATAAATTCAAACTAAACTGCTACCGAGTGTATACGTATATCGGGGAACGTTATTAACTCTTTAATAATCCACCTTAAACAGTGATACCAGTGAGTTGGCTAGTTGAGCATGGCTTCTATTTGCAGGAAGATCATGCTGTTTACACAATTTTTGGAGCTCCTTTCTAGACATTGTGAGATAGAAGTCCAAGTTATTCTGGTAATCCATCATCTCAACCTTCCACGCTCAACAGCTAATCCCCAATAATCCTGCTATTTTGTCCACTAAGTAAAAAGAAAGAGAAAATTAAAGAAGTTGCAATATTTCTAGAATACATCTGTAACTGCATACCAAAACAAGAAAAACAAAAGCAGTAAATTGACCACATATTCTAAAGGAAGTGGAGGAGAGAAGAACAAGCAAGGTGGTTTCTCTTAGATAAATTGCAAGAGATGTCAAAACAAAAACAAAATAGTATCAGTAATATTAACAATATTAGAAAAGAAACAGAAAATGGGACACAGCAATGTAAACTCAAAAGCAGGAGAAAACAGACATGAAAGAATACATATACTTAATTTTTCCACTGCCACACAAGATAATGATGAGTGCCAAAATAGCACAAAATTTCTGATCAGATAGTGATAAGAATTACCAGTGTTTGAGCAAGGTAACTAAGATAGAATGAACATAAATATAATCTGATCAGGAAAAGCCTACCACTATGACCAGGATGTGTGATGTGATCCATGGTGAAACTTTATGACATTTATTGTTTGAGTGTGAGTTCGCCAAGTTTGATTGAGAAAGCTAAAAGATACTTGGACTTATTTTAGATGTTGGGTGCATATTGTATTCCGTAAGTTCTGAATTCAGAAACAGAAAGGGAAACACAGGTTGTTTCATTTCTCTTCTGTTGATGTTGGCTTTATGTAGAGAAAGAAATAGCAGGATTTTCAGACTTGTCACAGAATGTTGAGGAGGTTTTGGATAGGCCTGTTATGAGGTAAAATTACAATTTAACAATCTGTAATTGGCTGTACCTGATTGTTCTTCATCCTTTTCCCCCTTCATTTTCTTCCTTTATTTTCTGTTTACTGCATTTTGTACAACATTTTCTCTTCTTTTGTGCATTTAAGATCTTTGAAGTGAGTTCTGGTAGGGATCTTCCCTTCAGCTTACCTATTTTGAAATGGGTTCTGGTAGGAATCTTCCCTTCAGCCCACATATTTTGAAATAAGTTCTGGTAGGGATCTCCTTTCAGCTTTCCATAAGAAACCGTGAAGAGGAAAAAAAAATTCAACAAGCATCATTAGAAACAAACATAAAAGCGAGAGAACATCTTTGAATTAAAAATCATATTAGTTTTCTGCTTGATCAAATTGGCAAAAGAACTTAGTTTAGGCCCTCTAATCACTAAGAAACAAGTACTAACGAAGAAGCATAATGATTTTTGGACTAATAATTCTTATTGTAAACCAAATTGGAGTTTGCAAATCTAAAGTTCAAGAACATCCGAGCCTGACACATTTTATTCTCATGATCACATCGAGAGGCTTTTAAGTAATTTCAGGACACAACCAATTTGTTCTCGACATAGAGATGGACCAGCTGACCCCGACAATGATTCCACTGTACGTATCAGATTCATAAAGTGCAAGCAACAGACCAAGAAAATACAATAGAATAGAGAACCTTCAAGGAATTGAACAAATTACCCAATTTGCAAGTACAATAAGCAAAAACGAATAATTGACAGCATCTTTAGGAATGAGAACGTGGGTCTTAGCATCACGATGAGGTTGTTCCTTTGCTGTAGAATCCAAAGCAGGCCTCCCTTCAAGATCCTCTTTGCGACCGAAACAACATAACCAGTCAGTTTCCTGGTAGTGTCACAATCACAACGAAAAAGAAACAAAGAGAACAAAAAAAAATCCGAGTCCTTATGGTATCTTGGAATTGACCGCAGCTGTTTTCCCAATGGCAGCAACCTAAGAAGCCTAAAGGACTCAACTTGCCTGTGGAATCCAATATCGCGTATCGAGAAACAAATCAAAGCAACCAGTAACTAAAACAGAATCCAATAGAAATCAGACTGAAGCGCTAAGAATCGATCATCTCAACAGACCCTAATGAACATCAAAACCGGAACACACCAAAGATCGAACCAGACCTACAGAAGCGGGAAATCTGGGAAGCAGAAAAAAAGGACCGCCTAGGATTCGGTAGAGTAGAAAGCGGGTGAAGGTTGCGTCAGCATGGTACCTCGTCAACACCAGGAACGCCGGAGCTCCGGTCGACCGCTGAGCGTTCGCCGATGGACAAAATGATAAGCCGAGAGGGAGAGAGAGCACTGCATTTGGATTTGGGTTCGACTTCACCGCATCGAGAATGAAAATTAACGGGTCGGATTCCGGTAGCTTTAAAGTTTGATCCGGCCCGTTTGAAATCCCCCGTGCATGGCCCGTTTCCTGACGCATTTCCACTAAATCGTACTCCCTAAAAATAACGAGACTGCATACGGCCATTAAGGCTCATTAATATTATTATTTTTAATTAGACCGCTTAGCAATAGAATTTTTAAACTATAAAATTTTATATTAGAATCTTTGTGGTCATGAAAATAAAATATTTAAGTTTATTTATCGTAACTATATCGGTTTTATTAATAAAAATATAAAAAAAAAATAAATAAATAAGTAATTTTAATATTACGATTGGTAATAACGGATGACGTTAATGGTGGTAGATAATGATACCGTTGGAGGCCACGAGTAGTTACTGTGAACGGACGAGGAGAGTAGCAATGAAAGATAAGGGCCACTTTGCATCTATGTTGACGCCAATGTAGTGAGCGACCCTTTTCACTGCTTTCCATTTGCATCGGTATTGACACAAATTGTTGAGTGATATTATTTTTCATCTACATCAACACCAACATAGTTCTCGAGCGGTGTCGCTCTATATCTACACCGACACCAACACAAATGTAGAGCGACAAAAGAGTCGCCCGATAACTATGTCAACATCAATACAAATGTAGAATGGCTCATCATCTCTCATTGTTGTCAATAATAGCCACCTATGGCCCCTAGTGGCACTGTCATTAGTCCACTGATGTCATCCGTCAATACTAACTGAAACACTGAAATTATTTTTTATATATTATTTTTATATTTTTATTGATAAAACTGACGATGTTAAAACAAATGGATCTAGATGTTTCACTTTTATAATTACAACTATAAGGATTTCACCATAAATTTTTTAAATATAAATATTAGAATACTAAGAAAGTCTAACTATAAGATTTAATATATAATTAATCCTACAATATCGTCATAAACACTTGATAATGACTCTTGATACGTCCCGTAGAAAGCGTACACTCTCCACTTACTAGCATAATGTACTTTACGTTATAACTCGAATCTTCGTGGGTCGTCACTGGGCCGAGCTATCACTTCTTGCAATCTAAGAGATCTGGTAAGAATTCATTTGGGATAACAATTCATTTAGGTGATAATGAATGCATAATCTAAATTGAAGTCAGTAGTTTTTTAGCTTAGCTAAAGTGATCTCCTACTTGTTAGATCCATTAATGTGACCTAACAAAATGCAGACGCAACAACTACCTTCAATATATAAAACATCCTTTTACGTTCGTTAATGGAAACATAAAAGGTTTCGAAGTATCATTTATGGAGATGTAACCTATAAAAGCCATCTTAATGGAACATTAGATGATAATTACACATGGGAGAAAACTTGGAACATGCAAGTGGTTCGGCAGTACTTATTGAGCCAACCAAAGCCAACACACTATGATCATTCCATCTTACCCACTCCCTCTCTCTCGCTTATATTAATGGCTTTCCTCTCTTTCGTGTACACTACTAGCCGTAGCCCTTCAAACCTTCCTCTCTTCTCCTCTTGCAATTCTATCAAACACCTCCAAGATGGTTACAGTGAACGGAGACTCCGCCGGCGCCGGCCTCATCGTGAGCTTCGGCGAGATGCTCATCGACTTCGTGCCGACCGTGTCGGGCGTGTCGCTGGCGGAGGCGCCGGGGTTCCTAAAGGCGCCCGGCGGCGCCCCGGCCAACGTGGCGATCGCCGTGGCCCGGCTCGGTGGCCGCTGCGCCTTCCTCGGCAAGCTTGGAGACGACGAGTTCGGCCGCATGCTGGCGGCGATCCTGAAGGACAACGGCGTGGACGACGCCGGCGTGTCGTTCGACGCCGGGGCGCGCACTGCGCTGGCCTTCGTCACACTGCGCGCCGACGGCGAGCGCGAGTTCATGTTCTACCGCAACCCCAGCGCCGACATGCTGCTCACGGAAGCGGAGCTCAACCTTGATCTCATCAGAAGGGTAGATCTCTCCCCGGACACCACACTACTTTAACGTAAGATTATGCTTGGATTCATGGTTGGATCTACAGGCCGCGATCTTTCACTACGGATCTATAAGTCTGATCACGGAGCCATGTCGATCCGCTCATTTGAAGGCGATGGAGGCGGCAAAGGAAGCAGGAGCCCTGCTCTCCTACGACCCCAACCTCCGGCTGCCGCTGTGGCCGTCGGCGGCGGAGGCCAGGGAGCAGATCCTGAGCATCTGGGACCAGGCCGACATCATCAAGGTGAGCGACGTCGAGTTGGAGTTCCTCACCGGCACGGAGTCGGTGGAAGACGAAGTCGCCATGCGACTCTGGCGCCCGAGTCTGAAGCTCCTCCTCGTCACTCTCGGGGAGAAGGGATGCAAGTACTACACCAAGGTACACAGATCTGTGGCTCAAGTGAGATCGAAGCCTTTCTGAGCTCCTGCTGACTTCGCTGGCTTTCTTGGGTCAAGGATTTCCATGGCAGCGTCAAGTCCTACGCCGTCAAACAGGTCGACACGACCGGCGCTGGCGACGCGTTCGTCGGCGCTTTGCTGGGGAAGATCGTCGAAGACCAGTCGGCTCTGCAGGTAGAGGACATGAGAGACCCTGTGCTTTGATTCATGTATCAGGAATGAGATGCGTGTTGTGATGGATTCTGTGATTTGTTGCAGGATGAAAAGAAGTTGAGGGAGCTGCTGAGGTTTGCCAATGCATGTGGAGCAATCACCACCACCAAGAAGGGAGCAATCCCATCACTGCCGACTGCAGCAGAAGCCATGCAGCTCATGGGCAGTGCCTAAGCCATGTTTAGATTGTGTTGTTCTTCTCTACAAGCTTGTTGCAGCTTCATGAGAATTTTCCTTGTTTGAGTTATGATCTTATTTCCCTTCTTCCACCAAATTCCTCTGGTAGCTCCCATTTATCTTGGCTACATTGTGCTTATGATCAATGTTACAGAAACTACTAATTAATGATGGCTTTTAAATGCTTTCATTCATGGCTAGCTGATTCATTTCACATCAAGGCATTGTGAAACAGCTTGAATATATCACTCTTTGTCAGAGCAAATCAAGCTGGACTGACAAGTAAATGATGCCAGACACTGAGAACTAAGCTAAGAAAGATGAAATGATACATATCATTGTGGATAATGAAGTAAAAATGCACACCACCAATACTCACTATTAAGGTTTACTGCAAGCAGAGGTAACAAATAAGCTCTTTTTTCTAGGGAGTGGCTGTTTCTGTCAACATGATTCCAAATGGCTATTTTGTGCAGGTTATGTTCATGAAAGTTCCATAATTCCTGAGTATTTGCTTAAAAGAAAGCAGTTGATGATTGGGTTGATAGATGCAGAGACCAAGCTGAGTGCACATTATATAAACAACTCTCTTACATGAATTCTACATTGGAAGTGCACAAAATGGAGTAATTTGTGTTGCATTATCAAACAATGACATCGATAAATCATGATTGAAGAAGTCTCAGGTTTTCAACAATATAATGCAATCTAGGCCACATTGCAATGTTTGATCAATCTAAGCAGTGGTTGAGTTGGTACATACCATCTGATTTGAGCAGTACATCATTCTTGGATCAATCCTCCCAACTATCAGCATGATTTTTCTGCAAACAGCAAGTTTATGAAATGCCAATTGAAGATTGTGGTGGGCATTTCATGCTCACCTTCTATAAGATAAACTCCAAACCAGTTCTCTGTAACCAGTACCCACTGATTCATAGTAGAACATATCAGCAGCCAAAAAGATTTGTTGTCAACCACAGTTGGGTATTGGTCAATCCACAATCTAAATCCTCTGACCAGAATTTTACATGATTAGGATGCAACAGATAAGTTCAATCCTCTGACCACAATACAACCTTCCTTGCAGAGAAGTTCATTCCTGGATGGGTGGAAGTGCCCATGAAGCCTCTAGATGAATGCATCAAAGTAGTTATATTCCATAATTATTTCGAGAATTAATATGTGACATGATGGCAATTGATATCCGACCTCGATATAAAGTTCTGCATTGATACATCATTGATTCATCAGAGTTTGATGGAAGTTACTACAAAGAAAAAACAAATAAAGCATTTTTTTTAAATGATATGCATGTCTAGTTGCAAAATTATCTATTTATGACTAGGAAGCGCTTGAGCTGGTGGTTTCAGAATCTGAATTTTCAACATCCACCACAGCATTGAATCCAAATTCACTTCCTGGAGTAAAAGCTGCTTCGAGCTCTTCAGCTGTCTGGATCGTTTTAAACTGGCTTTTCACCTTTAGGTTTTCCTAGTACCATCAAACGTTAAGACAATTTCAGCAATTAAGAATATGCCATACTTACGCAAAATGTAAAACATTAACATGTGACATGCCTTCTTCACATAGTCTCCAATTGTAATACCAACAATTTCTTGTATAAGAAATTTAGTTACACGGTCTCGCCCAAGCATCTGTAATAGAAAGCTCTTTGGCACCTACACCAAATTTCAACAAACAAAATTTCAAATTAATCCTGACTAGGCACACCATTATCATAAAAATGTCAAGCTTAAGAATGAAGTTGCATCATGTACTAGGACAAGTGGGTCATATGAAAGAAAAAGGTTGGGAAAGGCTTCAAGACACAAAGCAATGTGCAGTGGTAGCAAATTCGTCATTGCTAATCTGCTTCTTACAAGTTTTAGAAGTTGAAAAGTAAAAAAGTAAAAAAGTAAACGAAGTGGGCTAAGCCACAAGTTATTTTAGATGGGAATATTTGCATATACATGGTATATCAGATGATCAACATTCTTTCCTCCATATCATTCCCAACCTTAAGCTACATTTCCTACATAATTTCTACAGCAAGAAGAGATGATAGCTTATAACACAACTTACAATAAACATCTATTAATATTTTATTTCAGTTCTCAATTGTAGGTAACTTAAGGTCATGATAAACAAGGCATAAGCAGTATTCCGATAAGTACAAGAAAATTCAAAGGCAACATGCAGAAATGCATTGAATGACTAGAAGAAGACCTGGTTGGAAGGACAAAGACTACTTACATTGGATGTCTTTCCTTGAATCATCCAGGAAACATGCAGAAAAATATATATTTCGTCAGAACTAAGGCATAAGGCAGAAAAGAACTAACATGAAAACCAGAAAGAGAGAATATTGGATGATGTCACACATTACGAACTTCAAGAAACATATCAAACCGCCATATCAGTAACCAAACAAACAGACCTCCTTTCATTCTCCGGAATCCTGGAATTGGAGGTGCAGTGCGAGCCAAATTTGTTAAGACAATATCAAATGCCTTCTGTGTTTCCTCACCAGTTAAGTCCACTCTTACCTGATATAATCATATTAAGAAGTTGTCACTGAGCAAATGAACTATTGAAAGTGAGAACTAGTTAGTAAATAAGAATATATATTTTCAAATAAAAAAAAGAAGAAAAAACTGGTAATTTGCTCGCATATTCAACCTCCATATTTTTTACCACCATATCTTATTATAAACAACTACAAAGGCATCAGTGTGGTTTCAAGGTTAGAATTTTCAAATAAGATGTCGAGAAAAAAGATTCTTAATAGAAGAAAGAGGATTCAAGAAGACACCCCAAATAGGAATAAGATTCCTGTTGGTATTATTGTTATAGCTATAGCTTTAGCATTTTTTTCAAAGATGCTTAACACCTTTCCCCGTGTAACAAAACACAACCATACCCCACATTGTACTTCACCCATTTCACTTATCCGCATAATTGATTGACAAAATTTCTAACTTGTCCACATGATTAAGGAAATCAATTTTAATCATTTCCTTAATCAACTACATAAACAAAGAATTTAATAATTTAAATAAAGCAACATATTATTTACAGTAATTTGATTTATGTTAAGGGAAAAAAATCATTGGCGATTACAAAGAGTAAGAAAAGGCAAGGAAGAAGATTAAGAGAAGAAAATTGGAATTCTTTTCTCTTATTTAATCTGCTAAACAATAGAAATGCATTCAAAGATTGCTCTCTCTCAAGATTATGTGTTTTTCTCAGTTTATGTCGATGGTCTTGGATTGGTGAGAGGCTGAATTGTTCCCTTGTTTCCAAGAGCTAGTTTCGTGAGACCTACCCTTGTTTACATGATTTTGATGGGGACTACTCTTGTTTTCATGTAATCCACTTCTGGCGACGATACTTCTTGTTATTATAAGCCAAGATACATGTTATCTTGATTTTTGTTGATCCTATAAAAGTGCTCAAGAGGACACTGTCATATCCCATTATTTTCTATGATGGAAGGTCTGGCCAGAATTTGGCCCCATGGCCTTTCACTCTTGGAGGGTTTCCATGTAAATTTCATGTCCTTTCTTGTGATTTTCTTGGACTTGTAAAGCTTGTAAGTGGTTGTGCTAGCATCTATTCTTTTGTTCTGATATAGTCCACACAAAGAGGGGTGAGAAGATCATATCTGACTTGTCATTTGGTTGGTACTCCACCCCAACAGCTAAACAGCTTAATAGTATGCTATCTACAAGTAGCAGGAGGATAACAGATCAACTTTGGAAATGCATAAACTTACTCTGAAGTAAAATCTACGAACATATTATGTACCTACTGAATACAAAGATCCAAGTCATGAGCTCACAGTAATCTTATCAATGTCACGTGACTCGATGACTATCTTAACATTGTCCAATCTTATGTCATTCTTTGACGGATCAGATATTGATGCTTCTAAACCTATAATCACAAGGAACTGTTAGTTAGAATTTGTTCGATTAAGCAACTCAGCTACCTTGCAGCACCAGAGTTGATGCATGATTGAAGGGAAAGTTCACCTGGACCAACTGCAAATGTGGACCAAGGGGAATGCCTTAAGCCTCTTTGATGCAAAAATGTTAGGCTGACAATATTAAAGCGATTATTTGTGTTAGAAATTGTAGAGAAGCAAAAAATTCATTTAGGGAACCAAATGAATCTAGACCAATTTGGAAGCACAATATAAAGCATGTTTTGCCTGATTAGATTTGGAAAATCAATAGTCTTCATGTAAAAGCTTCTAGCTTGATGTTGCAGGATAGCACAACACTGTTGGTAGCCCCTGCATATTCATATGTCTTCCACAAATACAAAGTAAACAAGGAAAAATAATTTATTCAACATGATCCATCCATTGCTAGTCACAATTTCTATCAATACTAAAACCATCAAGTCTATTGAAAGCGTATTTCTTGTCTAACATCATTTTATAAGGGAAAGTATGTCCTACCAAAGAAAGGAAATAACTTTACAACATATCCCAAATCACTGGAAAAAGGAGAGCAGCATACATAATACTGCATCTATCAATTCAAGTAGGCACTAACTAGCTTACACAAGCTTTTGAATGTTTGTATATCTTCCACATAGAGAACATCTTAAATTCATTATCAACTACTTCTTTCTTTAGTAACTTGAATCTGCTTACATCTTCATAAGACAATCTTGAGAGGCACTAGTATAAAGGATAACCAGGAATCTATAGTTCTCAAAGTGACTACCACACAGAGCTTATCTCTGATGGTGGTACATAATTTCATATATTTCGTCGAATGAAATTGGAGATGGATTAGTTGAAAAGTCCCAATTGCTGCAGAGAAATGAGTAGGAAGTCAAAATGGAAGGTAAAGATATGACCAATCAATGCATACGTCAAAATATATCATCTCATTTCAGTCTCCATGTCAATCTAAACACGGATGCTTCAAATGCAAATTAAACTGAGTATTTTCCAGAAAGAAAACTAAAGCAGACTCCTTGAAAAATTTAATCAAAACAATTAGCTTCTGTGCATCAAAACCCTGAAAACAAATAATTGGTAACAGGAAAAGGAAACAGCTGGAGATTTACCTTTGACCTTCCCATACATTACAAGCAGTAGCTCTTTCAGTTGTTCTACTTAGAGTGGCTTTCAAACTTATAGGCACGATCACCTGGAGATTAAATTGCATCAGATGTAGCAAAGAGACAAATTAACCTACATAACGATTACGAGATTAAACAAAATCAACAATAACAGAACCAACCATTTATGGTACTCATTTATAATCACAAAGTGCTAATATAAGATCAAAACTTCTTTTTTGGCATACATCAAGAGAACAGAAGCCAGAAACCAAATGTTGTTAAAAACTAGGGTTTTCTTGAGAGAGAATTGCATCAAGCTCATCTGATTCTTCGTAATAAACAGAAAAACAGAGAAAACTGGAAGCCAGAAAATGAATTGGAATTACTCGAGAAATTCGAGATTTATTCCGTTGAAGCGGAAGCTTCGGACCGACCGCAGTCATCATCATTAACGCCATGATTCTCTGCTACAGATCTCGAAAGCAACACGAAACAAGAAGAAGAAACCCTAATTTTGAATAAGAGGGCAGCCGCTCGATCCCACGTTATCCACAGTTCCAATTGACAGAAATACCCTTTTCCATCACGATCAATTACGAGAAAGCCGTCGTCGTCATTCTCAAATTGGTCCGGCGGAGCACCGGGAGGAGGAGAGCTATAAAAGATTGAGCTTCGGGTTTCCGGACGGGAATTGGGGGTTGGGGTTTCGGAGTGGAGGTGCGGGAACGAGATGGAAGTAGCTGTTAGAACCCTCTGCAATGGATCCAGCCGAGGTTACAAATGCTCTCACAATCCAATCTTTTCTTCCCATATCGTCTATTAGGTGAACAACGTATTTGATCTTTGCTTCCGGTTTGCATTGTTCTGATCCGTGGTTGAACTGAGTTCTGACCATGGGTTGCAACTCCTCCTTCAGGAATTGTTTAGGGGAGACAAAAGGATCAGACAAACTATTCAATGGGATGAATAATGCCTGTATGAATTGCATGCTACAATGGTTATAGAACAATGGTTCTTGAATGGAGGTGCTGCCAAGGGCCTTATCTATCTACGGCAAGAAGCTCATAGAATAGAAATCTTTGTGCAGTGGAAATAGATTTAGATTTATATTAAAGGTTAAATATTAGAGAATTTTTGAAAGATTAATAAGCAAATGCATCAGCTTTTGGGTTCAAGTTCATATTGGTGATGTGATAATTTTAGCCATCACCTAAGATTACATGATCCAATGGGATCTACAAAAAAAATCACATGTTACTTATGATTCAAGCTGTAAATGAATACCACAATTAGTTTGGTTATTATCACATCCCATAAAAATGGTTTCTCCCTTCCTTTCTCCATCTGAACTCATAGGCAGCCCAGCCAAGCAGGTCAAAAAGCTCACATTCCTATGGACAACCTTCCAGCTGATGTGTCATGAGGAAGAAAAAGTCAATGTTGTGCAAAAGAAATCACATGCTGGACTTCTTCAAAATATAAATCCAATGCCTATTTTATCACAATTCCTTTTGAATATATACATACACATATATTACTAATGGCTATTGAGAGGCAAAATTAATCTTTTAATGAAAGAAGAAGCCAGATTAAAAGATATGTGAAATCAATTTTAGCAAAGCTCAAACACTTGCATTAAGAGAGAGATTAACCATAAATCTCACATAGTAATTTTTTTTACCTCCAAAAAAAAGAAAAAGAGAAAAAAAGGCATTGGACTGACAAACAGGGAAATGATACAAGGAAAAGACAGCACAATTACCAATCACAAGGAGGTTATAGATGATTTCCCAGCATAATAAGTAGGTTTTCTTTGAAAACACATGTGATCCATTAAATCCAAAACCACATAGTTCCTTTGTAAGTGACAGAAATATTTAACTGAAAATTGTCACCGATCAGCCACTGCTCAAAATAAGATCTTCAGACTTCTTGGACACTCAAGCCTGCAACATCAAACAAATAAGATCCTAACATTATTATCGAAGTCAAACCATCAGCACTAGATTGTATCTCAATCAACTCATTTAGTGAACATGAATTCACTGTTGTTGGGGAAATAAGTGATGTCGAAGAAACCAAGAGCTGTCTATCATTCTAATTTCTACATGCTTTACGCTCTTTACAGTTGTCCATCGATTAATGCCTGTTAGAAATGTACAAAAAATTGCTTTGGTTTGTGCAGCTTTCAAACGAATCTTTAGCAACCCTTAGAATAGATAACAAAGACTAGTATGAACTGTGCATGAAATTGAGGCAAGTACTATGTTGATGCCCAGGCTCCACAAGCAGCTTTCACCTTATCGCATGAACAATCCTAAATAGGATGCAGCTTACTCTATCCATTGGCTAAGGATAACTCTTTCTGTCAAATGAGGATGACCAAATTTCAACATGGTAACAACCCATTATATACAATCTGATTTCTCAACCAATAATGTAAACGAATACTAATTTTGTCTTCAAATGATCAAGACATTGCATATCCTACATCAGAATAATTTACATATATATCACACGAATCAATAAGCTAGCAGTATAGCTTAGGTCTAGATCTTGATGTTACTCAGTATTTCCATTACTATTGACAACAAAGAATATCAACTATGACCTTCGAATGTATAACTTCTTTCTTATAAATTGAGATTATCTGTTAACATAAAAGTCAGGGCTAATTACAGATTATCCCCTATAATTAGATCTCTTTAGCATTCTGGTCCCTATACTTAAAAAATTTACAATGAAATCCTTATAGTTATGAAAATGAAACAATTAACCCTATTTATCCTAACGTCATCAATTTTACTGATGAAAGATACAACATATGACAGCATGTGCAGGAATGACACGAAAACAATGGGTAAAATGATAATTTCAACATCTCAGTTACGTTTTTTTTCTTCTTTGTGTTAGTGGCGAACGACAACGCCATTAGAGCCGCGAGTGGTTGAACGATGAAACGACCAATCAACATCTGCATCGACACTGATGCAAATGCAGAGCAACAAAAGGGGAAAGAAGGATGAGGGATTGGTCAAGAAGGGGGAGGAGGAGGAAGAGGAAGGAGAGTGACGACGAGATGTGAGACAAAGGGAGAGGAGAAAAAGAACGACACAGATGTCGACGTTCTGCATCTACGTAAGCGTTGCTCGACATTTGCGTTGGCGTCAACGCAAATGCAGAAAGTCGATATCTCCGTCGTCCTCTTCCTCCTCTCCCTTTGCCTCACTTTTCATCGCTGCTCTCCCTCCTTCCCCAATCCCTCATTCTTCTTTCCTCTTTCGTCGCTCTGCTTCTGCGTCGACGCTAATGCAAATGTCAAGCAAAGCTCTGCGTGGACGCCGATACAAATGTCAAGTGGTCGTTTCGTCACTCAGCCACCCGTGACTCCAGCGATGCCGTTATCCACCACCACAATTAAAAAGAAAGAAAACATAACAGGGACGTTGAAATTATCTTTTTACATATCATTTTTATGTTATTCCTGCGCATGTTATCACGTATTATATCTTTCGTCGATAAAACCAACGACATTAGGATCAATGACTTTAATTGTTTTACTTTCATAACTATAAATATTCTAATATAAATTATTTAAGTTAAGGGACTGGGATGCTTCAAAAAAAGTCTTAACTAAATGTAGCCCTACAAGTCACGGCAAACGAAGGAAGATAATTAAACGAACCTGGGGGAAGAGATTGCTTCAACTTGTCTGCCTTCTCATAGTCGAACACACACAATGTGTAGAGGTACTTGGCGCAGCGAACTTTGAACTTTACCACGTCCTTGCTCCTCTTTATCTTCACCGACCTCGCATCTTTCCTTCTCGCAGTGAGAAGGAAATCCTTAATCTCGTGGATTTGCTTGGGCTGCAAACGATCAAAAAGCCATCTTTTACAGGCGTGCTGGCGCACTATGGCTTTTCAGCCTCGATTCAACCGATTCCTCCAGGAAAACAGAAAACAGCAATTACATGATACGACTCGAACAAGAATCGTCAGTACAATAAAGCTCAAACAAATTCGACATGCTAAATCTGCTGAGACTACAAAATCGAAATCCTTCAAGAAAATATACACAAGGATTCAAGAAAGAACGAATCGCAAGAACATGCAGCTAACTACTGCGTCATTGAAGTGAAAACTGTAACGAGAATGAAGAATTGGCACGCTAATCACACGAACAACAAGGATCGAGTAGAAATATACCATCTTGAATTGCTTCGGTGGCCAACACGAGCTGCGTAATACCGTTGCAACACGAGGCGCCGGGCTTTTATTGTCGCCACGAGCAAACCCTAGTCTCCCGAACCTCAGCCTCGGTTACGTAAATGCCCCTACTCTTGTGACTTTATTACATAAATAACACGACTTATGACGCGGTCACCCTTGAGTATTTTCCGGGTGATGTCACTCATGATGACAATGAGACACTAACTCCGGGTTCCCACGCGTCATCAAGTAGTTGCCACGGCGGCCAGGAATTTTCCAAAGAGGGTTTCATCCGTCCTACGTTTTCCTCGTTGCAAAGATAAGTGATTCACCCGTTAAACAAATGCACGTTACCTATAGCACGGACACAGTCATGAGGAATTCATCGTTATATCACGGGCTAATTAAATATCGTTCCTATAATTAGATTTTTATTACTATTCTGATTTTTATACTTAAAAAAATTATATTATAAATTTTATAATCATGAAAATAAAATATTTAGTTTCATTTATCATAATATCATCAGTGTTTTATTGATAGAAGTACAAAAACAATAAGTAAAAATATAATTTTAATGTTTCAATTATATTTTCAGTGATGATAGATGACGATGTCATTGGAGATTATGGGTAGTTGTTGAAGATGAAAAGGAAGAGCGATAATGAGAGATAAGGTGATGATGCATATATCTAACAATATATGTTTGTATCAATGTCGATGTAGATGTTGAATGATTATTTCATCATATATGTATCAGCACTAACGTAGATATAGAATGACAAAAAGATTACTTGGTATCTGTATCGACATCGATATAGATATAGGGCATTAACATTTATGTTGTCACCTCATCTTTCGTTGTCACTCTTTCTCATTTTCAATAGTTATTCATAACCTCTAACAACATCGTCGTTTGTTATTATCAAAAATATAATTAATATGTTATAAATTTATTATTATTATTTATTTTCATATTTTTATCGATAAAACTGATGATGTTAGAATAAATAAAGCTAGATATTTTATCTTATAATTATATATTTTAATATAATTTTTTTAAATCCAAAGATCAATATGGATAATATATAATTAACCCTCGTAATAAGCCGTGAGAGTAATTACTTGAGCTTAGTAGATGCCACGGCAACTAAAAACTTTGGGAGGATGATGCAAGCTTTTTCCCGGAGCCACGAAGGGGTGAACAAGATTTTTCTGGGTGATGTCACCATCTGCGAAAATGAAGACCATACATGTGGGTTGCGCTCATGAGATTACTGTGAGACCACATCACCCCGAACATTTTCAGGGGAGGGCTCAACTGGCTTTCGGCTCGGTCCAAATTGACCCCTCGTCGGGCCACAAAGCCTGACGAGCGATTGGCGGGAAAATATTTGCCAAACTTCCCTCCTCGCGCGCGCGTAGAATTTGATCGAACGGCATCCGATAGTTCGATCTTCCATGAACTCTCATCAGACAACATTATCCGTTCGATACGAATCCACCTGGCACGAGCTTGAACACGCCATATACATGCGCTTTTCTACCGCACTGCTCTCTTTTTCCCATCAGTTTGCGAGTAAAGAGAGGAGGACAAATCAACTCTCCAAATTTGTCAAAGAGATCCAACGATTTTGATCTGTATTCTTCGTCCTGCGATCGATCTGGAGGTAACGTTTCCGATCTGCAGATCTATTTCTTGATCGGGAAACGTGGGAAATGAGCTCGCTTGCGTTTGCTAAAGATTTTTAGGGATTTGCGGGATTTCATTGTGAAATTTGTGCTATTCTCAGTCTCTGTTATACGTTAATGAATCATCGATTGAATTTTGTTCTTCGTCTTTTGTCGCTGCTGTCATCGAATTAAGCAGTCCTGGAAAGGATTTAGAGTGGACCAGGTAGTTTTTGGTTTTCTAGAACCTAAAATTGAGCGTTCTGAAACATTATTTCTTCCGGAGTTGATTCTACCTGTTTTTGTTTTGATCGTGGTGCCATCCAGTTTCAAGATTTACAATGGCGTGTCTTGGGTCCATTGTTCTTGGCACTGATCGAGCCGAGGAGTCTTATATCGCCAATGTTGATAGGGATGCCTTGATTTTAGACATTGACCCAGCGAAATCTGAAGCGAATGTCGTTGTCAACAGAATCCCTGAGTTCGATGAGGATTTGTTGGTTCTTGATGATATCCCTGCTAATGAGGCAAGATGGAAGCTAGCAAACGAGGATCGTGAGAAGGAAGACCACTGTACGGATGCAACAGGCGTTGATATTGTTGCAGCAGAAAACTCGAGTACGCCTGTAGAGATGGTTCAAGATAGTTCCCATGTCGAGGCAGTAACAAAGTGCAAAGCTGAAGTGGAAGATGAGCAGAAGAGGGTGAAGAAGCTGTTGAAAAGGAAAAGAGCTTCTTTTGATGGGAATGCGAACTGTGATAATAAGGAAGTATTGATAACGAAGTGCCAGGGTGAGCTTGATGAATTGTTTGAGTATCACAAGGAGGTTTCTGGTCTTAGGCTGCAACTAGATGATGGCGCATATCATTCCAACAATATGATGGTTGCTTATTTGCTGGAAGAAAGTAGACTTCCATTTTCCAAGTTAGTGGGGGAAATTTATGGGGCTTTGAAGGGAAAGAACGGGATTACTTTGGCATCTGTCCGTGGTAGCGTGCTCTTTGTAGGACAGAGAATGATGTATGGTATTTCTAGTGCAGATGCGGATGTATTGGAAGATGAGTCAGAGTCATCCCTTTGGTGCTGGGAGGTAATACCCTATTTTGTTTAATTGCTTTCATTCAATTAATCATTTGTATGCACCTTTTTTGTGCTTACATGTGATTCTTCTTGATGTTTGACGTTTGTGTTGATCAGACAAGAGATATTAAGCTGTTGCCTATTACTCTTCGTGGCATTATCAACATCCGTCGCATGGCTCGAAAGAAGATTCATGAGAGGATTTCTGCACTTTCTGGTGAGAACATTTGTTTTGAGCTTATTACGATCCACAGATTTGTTTGTCTTTACTCTTGGTAACTTTTTCTTTTTCGTTATCTATGGTATTCTAGCTTTTTACGTTGTGTGGAAATGGATTTTTTTTAGTCGTGGACTATAGCTTTACTGTAGCATACAGAAATCATATCTTTTTGTTTTTACTTAACCTACATAAAAACCTTTGGTCCTTTTACCCTGCGCCTAAAATATTTGTGTGCTCTTTGATGGTTTGCCATGGTATGTACCTTATTTTTTTCCTAAGCAAGTTGGCCTTAAGATGATTGCAAATTATCATCTAAAATTTTTCTTTTCTGGTGTCTGATTATCTTGATTACCTGTATCATGCATTATATGGTTGGTCTTCTATTCTTCATTTGTGGTATCATTCATCTTATGTTCCTTATATCATTGCACCTTTTCTTCCATTGTTCGTTGCCCAACAAGTGAAACGAATGAATATGGAATAACGTTTTATCATTTCATTTATTCTATATTAGGTTCGGATGTTCATATTTATTTCATTATAATGTTTAGATTTCAAGGTGCTTTTATGTACTATTTGTGCGTTGATACCTGTAAGTTTTTGACAACCTTTGTGGAGAATAATTGTTTTCCTTTTTGCACTGAGGAGTCAGTTAGCTAATTGTACCCATACATTTGACTCACTTTAGCGACATTATCTGCGCTGACGAGTCCTGAACATAAAGGTGCTTATGGAAATAATCTGATGGAAGCATCGATCAAGCTTGGGAAGGCATTAAATAGGCAAGGGATTTCTTCATTTGTTGAAAACTTGACCCAGAAGTACTGTGCTGACATGTATGCTCCCTCTCCAAATTTCCCTGTCTTCAAAATCTCACAATATTTCTTTTAGATCAACCCTAAACTATGGTAATTGCAGGGCTGAGAAAGGAGATTGGCTACAACAAAAGGAATTAATGAAGAAAATTGAGAAAAATAAGCATAGTGCAGAAAAGGAAAAGAAGAAAATGGATCGTGAGTTTCAGAAAGAGAACTTAAGACGTGTAAGTAATGGATTTTCTGTGACATGGGTTGCCATGATGATGAAGTACACAAGTTTGAATAACTCTTGGTCTTGCATGTAACACACTAAGACCAAAAGTCTAGAATATCTACTTGAGGATGAAAAGTATTACAAAAAACCCAATACTGATGTTTCTTAGGATCACATATGGACAGAGCACTACTGTCCTAAAAGTATGAGTTAAATAGCTGCTAAACCATGCCTGATTAATTATCTGGAGCTGTTCAATTAATTTATTCATTGAAACACTAGCAATGAAGCTTCACGTGAGCTTCATAGTGTAAGCTACTTTTGCAGGATAGGTTTCTCCAGGGGTGGCAAGCTAGCACTGATTCCATGAGCAGGGCCCTGCCAGTGGACCCCAAGGGCATTGTGCCTATCATGCATGGATGATCTACATTATATGATCTGTAGCCAACTGAGGGTTCGGTGATTAGTATTATGTTGGGGTTAATCTTATTTGCAATTAACAGACCTAACACCAAAGAAATCAAGAATAAACTTGAACCGACACTATTAATCCACACTATTGGTTCGAGATCTTATGAAGTTTAGATTACTGGCAGATACTCTCACCATTGCAATTTTCCCTCGATTTGCAGGAGAAAGAGCTTAAAAGGATGCAGGAAGAAGCTGAAAGAGAAGAGAAGCATCGTGAAAAAGAAGCAGCAGAACTGAAGAAACAAATAAAAAGGCAGCTAGAAGAAGCTGCGAGGGAACGACGGCGCCGTGAAAAAGAAGAAGCTGAACTGAAGAAACAGTTTGCCATACAGAAGCAAGCTTCTATTATGGAACGGTTTCTCAAGAGTAAAAAGAATAGCAATAGTTCAGATGACAAAGTGTCCATAAAGAACTCATCCACTGAAACATCTTCCAAGAACACAGGGATCACTAGTGCAGTTACATCATCAATGGACTGTGGCTTTTCCCAGGAATGTAGCTTAACCACAAAGGATCTGCGTGGGTTAGTAACAAGACCTTTCTTTCATTTTTTTCTTTAAAACTTCAGTTTATATTTGAGTTGTTAATTTTCTGGAAAAATTTATAAAATTATATTAATTTTAGAGTTGCCATTCAGATTAATTTCTGAAGTGGCTTGAGCAAATCACTAATTAGAAAGTTCATTTTTTTCTTAGAGACAAGTTATGAGTAAGGGGAATTATTGTCTGTGAAATAAAGAAAAATGAACAGATATTCTTCTGACAAATAAAGCATATAATAACTATGCAACATTGTAGTCTTGTCTTGGTCTAGGATGTCCTAGCAGACGTATGTTTGGTTGCAATCAAGGGGAGATTCAGTTGACTACTGTATCATATTCCCCTGGGCATTATATCTAAGAGAACTGATCATGTAAATAATGCAGGTTGCATATTACTGGCTGGCATAAGTTGGCTCACCTCGGCAGATCCTGCCACTGGGGTGTTAGGCGCAATCCCAAGATTGAGTTGATGAAGGAACTCAAGCTGCAAAGACCATCCTTTGTAGGTGAAGCTCTTGAGAAAAATGCAGCTCTGGAGAAGGAAACTTCCTCTCATGAGGCCAATAGCAGTGAATTGAGCTATGATAAGCTTGACAATGAACTAGAGTCTTTAACAAATAATATATGTCAAGATGATCTCCATATTCAACCATCATCAGCCTGGATGCAGCATAAGAAACTTTTGCAGTTTTGCCAAAATCATAGGCCAGCATACTATGGTACTTGGCGCAGGAAAAGGTAAGCCTTTATTTCCTAAATTTACCCTAACATTTTTTTATTTACATTTCCACCAAAGCTTTGATATTCTTTCTTTTAACTGCAATGGTGCTACCATAGTGGTGTTGTTGGTCCGAGGCACCCATTTAGGAAGGACCCCGAATTGGATTATGACATTGATAGTGATGAGGAATGGGAAGAGGTACTTGTCATTCAAACCTTTTGTATCTGTTACTGAGATCAACAGTCATGACTTGGTATTTGCTTTTTGCACAGGAGGATCCAGGTGAAAGTCTTTCTGACTGTGACAAAAATGATGAAGAAATTTTAGATGCAGAAAATTGTAAAAATGAGGATGACACTGAAAGTGAAGATAGCTTTGTTGTTCCTGATGGTTATCTATCCGAAAATGAGGTGCAGATGAAAACAGACTATAAATAATGTTCTATATGTGTTACTTCGCTCATTAATTCTTCATTTCCCAAACTCGTGATTCTACTAATTTTACTGCATCTATTTTCATATATTTTGAAAGTTTTCTCTTTGCTATTATCAATTCTGAGTTATTTGTGAGGTTCTGACTTTTGTTATTTACCTTTTGTGCTCCACTTGGATAAGTGCTTTTCTTTTGATAATGCATATGTTTATGTTTGAAAGCATATTTATCCAACCTTGTAACCGATCAAGCTTTTGTCACTACTAATTGAAGGTATTGAACTTCAAAATGACTGCAAAAACACAAATGCTGATTTTATTTTGAGATTTTTATTATGTTGATCTTTATTAGCTGTGATTTTGGAACTTTTATGAATCATGTTTCAATCTGGCGAAACTTGGACTCTGCTTCTTTGTAGTATGAATGAGAAGTTGCACAAGCAGCCTCTCTTCTACCAGTGTTAATGTTGCATGACAGTCTACTCTCTAGCTAAAGATTGCCTTGAGTAGCATAAAGTCGGTCAAGTCAGTTTGAGAGTCCATCTGAGAGGTTCTCAGAATTTGTTGGTTTGCACCCTGCTCCATAAGCTTGAAATGACACTTGGGATGGGTGTTAACTACTTGGCTCTATGTTGATTGGTGTTTGTTCAGATTCTGAAATCTGTCTTTGCTTCCAGGGAGTCGAAATGCAAATCTCATGTGAACCCACAGAGGATGAGGCAAAAGTCTCAAAATGTTGCAAGTCAGAGGTCGACAGTGAGGAATCCAGAGCATTGTTGCAGTGGCAGAAGATCCTCTGCAATTTGACTGAAAAGGCCCTTCGAAAGAGCCATCCATTGGTCATTTCCAACTTAACTCATGAAAAAGCTAAACTACTGATGGCCGAAGATCTTGCTGGCACAGCTAAAGTTGAGCAGATCTGTTTGCGAGCTCTCTGCATGCAGGCCTTTCCTGGAGGCTCCATTGTAGACATCTTAAAAGATCCCAACACATCGTCTGATGATCAACAAGTTTGCCGATGTTCTAAAGAAAATACTACACAGGGAGCCACTGTTGCAATGATATCAGATTTGGACTTGCCAGAATTTGTAAGTAACAGAGAGAGATAGGCAAACTTAAATGACATTTAAATCTAGTTTTGTTCTAGTTTCATCTTTTCCTTACTTTTCGGAACCCTTGACTGCAGGTTAGGCTGATCCAGTCCTGTCCGCATGGGATTAATAAGGTGGTTGAGGTGTTGCAACAGAAGTTTCCGACCACCTCAAAGTCACGATTGAGAAATAAAGTACGGGAAATATCCAACTTCGTTGACAGTCGTTGGCAGGTGAATTCATGTTTTCATACATGATTATGCTCCTGTTGCCGTCATTGAAAAAAAAATCATGGTGCCTTCTGCTGCAACTTTCATGGTTTCTGTTGGCTAATTTGTATGCACAGGTTAAGAAAGATGTCTTGGAAAAGATTGGCTTGTCAACCTCTCAGCCCCCTCCCGGTATTAATACAGTCAACTATACTGGATGTTGAGAAGAAACAATCTAATTTCTTTACCATGTCTACATTTCTTCATCAAATCAAAATTTTATACAAGCTTTCTCAATCAGCATATTGTGTAGATATAAGTTTATGGTATGATGCTGAATTCTGAATCTAGCTTGTTGGGTTATGGTCTTGACAGATAAGGATTGGACAGGTACAACAAAGTACTTCTCCAAACGATGCTTACCTCCTAAAGGGAGGCCCACAGAGATTTCCGAATCTTCTCAGTCATCCTCAAAACTGAAGAGATCATTCTGTGGCCGGGAGAGATCATTTCCGAATCATCTGTAAGTGTTTGATGTATATAAGTTTATTAGCAAATTCTTGTTCTTTCTGTGGCCAAATTGTTTTGGCCTATGAAGAGTACAAAAGAGAATGACATCCATTTTGGTGGACACTAATGGCAGTGGATGCTAATAAGATGATGTTTGCTAATGAGTTTTTGTTGCTTGGAACACTGAGTGGGCCGAGCTTTGAGTTAGTTGTCTAATAAGTAAAACAATGTTTATAGATGTGGAAGAAACAATTGATTCGCTATAAGAATGTAGCTTCAGATGAACAAATGAATTAGGCATAACAACTAGCAGACAGTGGATGAAACCCAGAAGTGAATGGAAGAAGTGGCTTAAGCTTATACTTGGAATGGCCATGGCCAATCCTTGAGCTCCTCGTCGCTGCCCACGACTTTGGAGCTCCTCTTTGAGGCGGTGGCGGTGCTGCCTCCTTCGACGTAGGCATGGTAACGCAGCAGGAAGGCCACAGCGAGGGCCACCCACTCCAGGCAGAAGATGGCGAGGCCGAGGCCGCCGACCATCTTGAGGATGACTGCGCCGTCCTCCTCGCGGACGTAGGATCGCAGCTCGACGAGGAAGTCGGGGGTGCGAGTGAAGGCGAGGACGGAGATGGCGCCATGGAAGATGGCGGCGAGGACGGTGGAGGCCATGTGGGCGGCGTGCCAGCGGGCGGTGGAGGCGGGGGTGGTGGCGCAGGCGGAGGCGGCGGCGACGGCGGTGAGGGCATGGAGGGCGACCAGGAGGAGGCCGCAGGGGGAGGGAATCAGGCGGAGGGAGAGGGTGAGGAAGACGCAGCTAGTGGCGGCACCGAGGAGGGTGTAGTTGCAGAAAAGAAACGCCTTGTGTGTGTGGCAGTAGTGGGAGGCAGTGGTGGCGCCCATTGTAGATGAATTGGAGCACAGAGAAGCTGTGTTCTTGGTGTTAAGAGAGAGGTGAGTTGAGTCGAGGAAGGTAGAAGATGGGGGAGAGGTGTGTATTTGAAGGGAGAAGGAAGAGGCTCCGAATTCGAACGTTGGGAGTCGCCGCGAGCGTTAAAGTGGAGTAGCCGTTAAAAGCGACGAGACCAGAAGAGGGATCATATCAGAGCCTTTGATAGCTTTTTGGTGCTGGTGATCTTTCACCAGGTGATCGATCCGTTAGACTCGATCCAGGCCTGGCCATCGCATGGGTTTTGGTGGCTCCACCAAAGGGATCTGGGGACAACGGTGGTGCTCTCACGAGCCAGTGTTGAACTCCCCGTGTCCAAATCTGATTGGATCAGACAATTTATGAGTGTGATTCTCTCGGTCTCTAAATCCTGCACCTAAATTGGAATAAGGTTGGATCAGATCCGAGTCCGAGTGTTTTGCTCAATACGTCATCTCCTCGTTATCGACAAACCCGAACGAGATCCGAATCCGAATAATGAGCTCGATCGGATTGGATCAGCAGCAGAACCGGACCCCAAACCCAGATCCGAAACTTGTTAATTGACATAAAAATTGGCTCCGAAACCTGATCGCACCCATATCAGCCTAGGCAACGATCCTGACCGTCGGATCATGGCACAGGGCACTCTGGCGATTCTCGAACCGAACGGACCGGGCTTCGCCGTGAGCTGCCCTTCCCCCCTCCGCTTCGAGGCCCCGAAGACGGCGGCGGCAGCAGCAGCAGTGAAGGAGAGGGCGAAAGATGGTGAGATTATCTTGAACCCCTCTCCTGATCGATCTCTTCAGATGAATGTTCTCGTTTAGAATCGGTCTGAGGCTCCAGAGATCTATCATTTCGCAGTCATTCTTCTGTAGATCCGTGTCTTTATCCCGATCAAGACGTCTTGAATGGAAATTTGTCGTTTTTTTTCACTATTTAATGCGTTAAAGTCACCATTTTGTTGAGAGTCGCACAGCTTTGGTTACTTCCGCCCAACCCATTGGCGCCATTTTGTGTTAATGCTTATTAGATTGTTAAATCACGGGGTTTTATATTACTAAGTGTTTTACGGGGTTCTAGATCTCAGTGTTTTTTCTTTCTTTTACCCTTTTGGATTTTTTGAGTTGCCTTGGTGTTCTTGATCTGTTGATCAGTCGCGGGGATGTCTTTTAGTTTTAGCAGTTAGTTTGCTTTCTTGGTTCATCAGTGCTATAAAGTTGATTAGGGAAAAGCTTTGCTTTGTAGTTAAATTATATTGTCTATTTGCTACTACAAGCTAATTTATATTCTTCTAAAAGTATATGTTCGAATAATAGCAGTGAGACATTGGATCGATCAATAACGTCAGGTCTGAGGTTTAGCTATATGTTCCATGTTTAAATGATTTTTCATGTTAAATGCAAAGCCAAGTTTTTTATATCTTCATAGGTTTCTACTAGCTTAACTGGTTGATGGGAAACATAGAAAAGAAATTTGGCCTCAATGTGCTGCATGTGTAATCATAGCTTCAGTTGGCCTTTGACATGCTAATTTCTTCCACTTGTGCATTTATGTACTGTAGAATACAACCAATGCATGATAGTTTTTTTAATTTTCTTGCTTTTTTTATCCATTTAATAATAAAATGCACTTGGGGAAGGTATATATGATTTCATTGTTTGGTTTCTTAGTTGCTTGTATATTGCATGAGTTCAACTTGTTCCTACGTGATTGGCATTATTTACTTTTACTTTGCAGTTTTTTTAGTGAATTATGATACCCATTTTACATTGTAATATTTTTTGTGCTGCTGATACATATGATTTCTTTTAATGCGTTCACTCTTATTGTTTTGGTAAACTGTGGCTCCGAATATCTTCTTTGTTTTACTTTTATCTTACTAGACTTTCTCAATTGTTTTTCCTTATTTTCCCCTTTCTCCTTTACTTAGACCCTTGGTTTCGTTTGATATCTTTTGTAATTTTAGGTAATTTTTTGCAATCCCTGTTAATGATTTTGGATAAAATATCTGTCATGCTTATTGATGTATCAACTGTTCTATTTTGTTGGCAGTGAAGACATTGGAAGTGTTTTCTGTATAACTGATTCAACAATGTTGTCAATGTTTCAGGCCTTTGTCAAAACTCAGAAGACCAAGGCTTACTTTAAGTGCTTTCAAGTCAAGTACAAGAGAAGGAGAGGTACTACTTATCTTCCTAATTATTTTCCTTGTTAGAGCGCTGCCGGTCATTTATTATTTATTTTCTTTGGCTGTACAGAGGGCAAGACTGATTACCGTGCACGGGTCAGGCTGATTAACCAGGACAAGAACAAGTACAATACACCTAAATATCGATTTGTTGTTCGATTTGCAACCTCGGAAATTGTTGCTTTTCACTTTTCTTTTCCTTCTCTCTTTTTTTTTCGTTGCTTTTTTGGCAATAAGAGTGAAGTTCTTAACAAATATGCTGTCAGACCAACAAGGATATTACTGCACAAATTATATCTGCAAGCATTGCTGGTGATCTAGTCCTTGCATCTGCTTACTCTCATGAACTTCCATGCTACGGACTCGAAGTTGGTCTTACCAACCATGCTGCAGGTAATTATTCACTTTTTTTTCTCTCTTTGTGCATGTGCTTCATTTGTGGCAAACCTTAAATGTTTGAAATTAGCCTATTGCACTGGACTGCTGTTGGCAAGGCGAGTCCTGAAGATGCTCGAAATGGATGATGAATATCAGGGGAATGTAGAGGCGTGCTTTATGAATTTCTAGTTTATATCACATTATTACTGTTGGTAGACGGACATCTTCTGTTAACTTGTATTAATGTCTTGATCAGGCTACTGGAGAGGACTTCTCTGTTGAACCTGCTGAGAGTAGGAGGCCTTTCCGTGCTCTTCTTGATGTTGGCCTTGTGAGGACAACAACTGGCAACCGAGTTTTTGGTGCTCTTAAAGTATATCACCTTTATAATGTTGAGAATTATTTTAGCTTTGCTATTTTGTATATGCTTTCATGATTCCAAACTATTCATTCCGTGCTTCACCACCTTGACTTTTCCTATACCTGGTGCTGCATGTGCAACTATTCCTATTCTAGACTCCATCAGTCGGTAGTATTTGGACATTGTATTGATGTTACTGGAAGAGAACATCATTATATCATTGTTAAAGTGGAGAACATCATTATATCATTGTTACTGGAAGAGAACATCATTATATCAGTGAGATATTTCTGCTATGCAGACAGTTATGCATGTAGAACAAGAGAAGTTTAGAAGAGGAATCAGTAGTTTGTCTAAGAAGAAGGGTCAGCAGTTTGTAGTGATGAATTAATGGCTTATGTGGTTCAGAAATATGTTATAGAAATATTCAGTCTTTCAGTGTTAAAAAGCCAAAGTAGAATATGGAAATTTTGAGAGATTTGTATAATCTTGTTGAGGAATTTGTATTAATGGTAACACTATACAATGAAAGTTGGAGTTAACTTTTGACCGAACTGGACATGATCTGATATTAAGCTTTGGAGGCTTATCTTTGATATGATCTATTTATGTATACTCTCTGGTGTGTGCATATAAAAGTAAATGACATATGGTGTTTAGGGCAGATGTCTTTGTTCATTTACTTTTATATTGATACAGTTTGCACCTAGGTAGACCACTTTTTGTGTAATTTTATTCTATTTATTTTTCTGCTGTGGTTGTGTGCATTGGTATTTGCATTCACATGCTGCTATTGGCACCTGGTGGTTTTCAAGTCGATCGAAAGTTGTCTACAAATTGATGACTTTGTTGGTGTCATGGCCTTTTGTTCCACTTATTGTTGAATAGTAAGATATGGATAGCTAGTTTGACCTTGCTATTAAATAACAGTAAGCTGTTTCCTGAAAGATGTTTATTTTGTTTCTTAATTTTTGTATATCAGAGTTGGAAGTCTTGCATTTTTCACCCTAGATGGTGTCCTCAAGGTGTAGGACGTTTCATTACCTCTTCTTGTTTCCCATTCATTTCCTTATGAAACATTCCAAGAACAAGCAGGATTTAAGTTTGCACTTTCTTTAGTATCTTGTTTCATTACAGAATTAATTACGAGCAAAATTTGACATGTTTTAGCACTTCTCATATTGTAGTTTGCATTCTGTTCTGGGCAAAGATGCCAACTAGGCCGTCTAGGTTAGCACAGAAAATGAGAGGGTTATCTCAAACCCAGGCTATCCAGGTCCTTTGACCTTGTTATTTGAACCCTTCTTTAGCGCATTTGGTAGGTTAAATCATTAACCATTAGCTTAGTTTTCTCTAATCCCAAACTATAACATTTTTTATGTTGTTATCAATCAGCTGGATATGTATTTTCTTTGGATTATTGAATTTGTATCACCGAATTTGTCCTTCCTAAATTTAAAGAAAGCTCTGAGTATATGGTTCTTAAACTACATGTTCATATTTCTGTTCTTGTTTGTGATAAACTAACTTGCTTGAGGTTATCTTGGATGTAGGGTGCATTAGATGGTGGACTTGATATCCCTCATAGTGACAAGAGGGACGAGAAACAACTTGATGCAGAAGTTCACAGGAATTACATCTTTGGAGGTCATGTTGCCTCTTACGTGAAGGTCGGGGACCCCAGCCATTCCACCCTTGGTTTGTTTGTGATACCTAGTTATATGTAACAGGTATATGCATGTAACCTACTACCAATGCTCATATTATGAAGTTAATATGTATTGCACATGGTACCATGTTAATATGTATATATACACACCTTTGTGAATGTATGTACGTGCATGACTTTGTCTATTTAATACACATTGTTTAACATAGCCCATTCAGTTGGTTGCTATAGTAACTGTTGCATTGTTTAGTGTCGTTGCAGCACTCTGTAAATTTCTTTTGATCTTCAGTTATTTGTTTGCTTGATGTCACACCTCAAATTTGTTTCACTTATTTTCTTGGCTCAGAAGATATTAGGAAGGGTTAGTAAACAGTTCATCATCCGTGATTGTCACTTACCTTATCAAAATTTTGATTTCCAATTCCCCAGACCTTGATGGAGGATGAGCCAGAAAAGTATCAGGTGCACTTCAGTGAATATATCAAGAGAGGAATTGAGCCTGATGACATGGAAGAGATGTACAAAAAAGTTCATGCTGCCATCCATGCAGATCCAACCACAATAAAATCCACAAAGCAACCACCCAAGGAGCACAGGAGGTAGGAACTAATCACTTTTGATGCCAAGAATAGTTTGATGAAATGTGTAATCCATTTTGAATTCCAAGCCATCATCTGACTTGATGGTGCTCGGAGGAACAGCTGATTTCGCTGTTGTGACTCCTGGCCTTCCAAATGATCATCATGTTCTCATTGAATTCCGTTTGCCTTGCAGATTTAACTTGAAGAAGCTTACATACGAGGAAAGGAAAGCCAAACTCATCGAACGACTGAATGCCCTTAATGCATCTGCTGATGCCAATGAAGACGAAGACGACGAGTGAACACTTGAGTCAAAAGTGCTAGCCTTGTGTTGTAATTTGCAGCAGTCCAGGCTTGTTTCACTGCATCCTACTCTCATCAGGCTCATAGGCAAGTTCTCATTTGCTATCAAGTATAGATCGTGGATTTGGTCCAACCAATCCGACCAAACGCCGACAATTTTGACTCATGCAACTAATAACTGCTTTTTAGAGGTTTAATGATATGTGTGTTATGTTGAAATTGATTTTTTTAGTGTTGTTCTTCTACTTGGTTATGCTGATATATAATTGTTCTTGTGGAGATGCTTTGTGGTGCAGCAACATGGTAATAGCTTATGAAGATTATATAATAATTATGTCTCTAGAGTAATGGACTCGGATTAATTTTACTGATAATAGTGCAGCAACATGTACTAAGATTGCATAATCAAATACTCATAGTAGTACACTAATAATTAATTTGTATCTTGGATATTAGATGATCATGGATGTTAGATGTTTATAATATGATCCAAATCCTCTTATATAATGCTCTAACCACTGTTGATATGACTTGTTTTTCTTGTTTCAAGAAGAACTAGTGCTAATTAGCTTGATTATATTAAAAAGAAAAGATCTGAACTGTTCATACCAAAGTCTTTATCGTTTACCCTTTGGTAAAATAAAAAAGAAGAGAAAAAAAACTTGATCAACATCAAGAAGAAAGTTGTAGTCACGTGTTGAAAGAAGACAATCGAGCATAGTTTATGCCTCAAAAACCAGACCAAGGATCTGTAGGAATTCCCGTACCGATTAGAATCGCAAATTACTCGGTTCAAGAAACTCTCAGTGAGAGTTGACAGTGAACCAACCAATGCACATGCCTCCAATGGGGAGATGCCCCCCCAACGATCTCTTCTTCCTCGCTTGGAAGCTGCTGCTGCTGCTGCACATCGTTGTCAGAGCTGACCTTGTTGTTGGCTTTCTCGGAAGCTCGACTCCAACGCATGCAGCATTTCTATTGACCCGTACTTGATGCACCGACGACACGTCCTCCCCCGCTAACCCACCGAGGTGTCGTCTTCTTCCGTGCCTTCCTGTTTCTAATGACCAGTCTTCCCGGCTTCGCCGTTTCTATTTGATTTAATGCACCGAGGACAAAGCCCTTCCATTAATCTTCTTCTTCTTCTTCTTCTTCTTCTTCTTCCCATGGCGTGCTGAAGGCACTCCCTGCTTGCATCTGTATTCTCCTCTCAAAAAATCTATCCGTTTTAGGTTCTGTCGAAGGATCCCATCCGAATGTAACTGTTTAATGATCTCCTCCTCATTCCTCGTTCGATACACTGTCACATGCATTCATCTTGCACTCCATTCTTTCCTTTTTTTTCTCCTTCGCCAACGCGCAACGAAACATTGTATTCTTCTCCTTCTTCTGCCTCCTTGCAAACTCTCCTCACCACGAGACAATGCCATCAACTCCCATACGTAGCAGAAGGGCGCTCCACTTGCCCTTCTTCCCTCTTCTTTCCCCTCCTCCAGCGGAGCCTCCCTCCTCCTCCACCCCGCAGCGGCCCTTCTTCCCGTCCTACCCCTCCCCCCCTCCCCCGCAGCCCACCTTCGCCGCGAACATCTCCTCCCTCACCTTCTCCGGCTCACGCTCCGCACCTCCCGCTCGCCACACCACCGTCGTCGTCGCCGCCGCCGCCGCCGTCCTCATCCCCCTCCTAGTCCTCGCCCTTCTCGCCGCCGCCGCCGCGTTCTTCCTCCACCGCCACCGCCACCGCCTCCGCTGTTTTCCCTGCTTCGACAAGGACCAAGTCCCCGCCCCCGCTGCCGCCGACTTGCCACACCACGACGCTCTCGTCGACACCCGCCTATGCGGCTTGGGCGAAGATGGCGTCCGCCCCGCCGCCGGTCCGACGGGCGGGTCGCCCGATCGGAAGCTGCAGTCGCCGGAGCTCCGACCCCTCCCGCTCCTGCCGCGCCAGTTCCCGTACGGGGGTGGCGAAGGGGAGATGGGGGCCTCATCGTCAGAGGAGTTTTATTCGCCGAGGGGATCCTTGGCCGAGAAGGGGAGCGCCGGGTGCATGTCGACCTCCCGGCGAACGTTCACCGCGGCTGTGGAGAAATGTGGATCCCAGAGCTCGACGAAGAGCACGAACGTGGCGTCATCTCCTCTATCGCCACCGGTCGCTTCTTCTCCGCACGTCGGATCGAGCCCCAGCCATTCCAGCAGCAGATCTTTGATGTCCACATCTCAAAGGAGTTTGGCCGGAGGTCTTGAATATACGGTTTTGCCACAGCCTCCTCCTCCTCCCCGTCCCCCTCGACCTCCAACACCGTCACCTCCAAAGCAGAAACCCTCTATGCCGTCACCGCCTTCTTCCCCAGAAGAGAGAGAATATGAAAGAAAGATGGATCACTTGGATCTCGCAGGATCAAATCTGAGGTCAACAATGAGACTTGCAGACTCGCCTTCACCGCCAGGAGCGCAACCACAGCGTCAAGCTCCACCTCCGCCGCCGCTTCCTCCTCCACCGCCAACTAGACATTGGGAGAGTCAGGTTCGTGAGTCGCTGGCAAGAAAACCACCAATTGCTCCGCCCGAGCCAACTGGAACGAAGGCTCCCCCCGCACTGGTTAACCCCACATATGAGGTGGAGAAGAAGAAGGAAGGCCCCCGACCAAAGCTGAAACCTTTGCACTGGGATAAGGTTCAGGCGAGCTCGAAACGAGCAATGGTGTGGGATCAGTTGAAATCCAGCTCCTTCCGGTGGGATTTTTTAATATGGTTTCTCTGGACCTGCATGATTCCTCTTCTTTTCCGTTTATTTTCATTTTGATTCCTTCATCACATTGAGCTGTAAAACTGATGAATCAACAGGGTTGATGAGGAAATGATCGAGACTCTGTTTGTTTGCAATGCTACCAATGGCACACCTAAGGAGACCAACAAGCAGCAGGTCCGTCCTGTGCCAACTCAAGAGAACAGGGTGCTCGATCAGAAGAAGTCTCAGAACATTGCTATTCTGCTGAGGGCACTAAATGTGACCAAGGAGGAAGTCTGTGAAGCTCTATCTGAAGGTACCTTATTTTCCTCAATTTCTATTTGGCCTATGTATTTCCTGTTTGGTGCTAGAAGATGGTTCTCTCTAATGTTTGTTCCTCCATGAGCATTTCAACCAAAGTACTCCAAGACATTCCATTTCAGAGGTCATCACTTGTTGATGCCATTACATTATTGTTTCCCAGTTGATTTTGATTTGAAGTAGCTGCAGTAGATGTCCATCCATGACTCTGCATGGTCTAGTACTGTGAAAGCTATCCATCATTCCTTTAAAGAGATTAACACTACTTCAACAAGGACATCTACATGCCCCCCATCCCTGGTAGGAGGTGGGTGTTCAATCCCCATATAATAGCATTAAACAAAAAAGATTCATCACTTGGTAATTAAGATCTATGACCAAACCAATGAGAGTACCAGAAATAATTTGTGGAGTTTAGGAGTACTAGTTTCATTACATGTTGCAACCCATGCTTATGCATATACACTGATGGCTGCTGGGAAATGATAAATTAGTTTGATTTAAGAGAAAGATGCTAAGCCTCTAGTGAAAAAGTTAGTGGTTTTTTTATTGACAATGTGATTATGCAAGTTGGATCACATTAGAATCATGGCATCTGAAATTTTTGCTGGACTCACTATATCTGATGCTCTCCTGCTGCTTTTGGCTCAAGTGATGATAAAATTAAGTCAAGTGCAGAGAAGGAAGAAATCCACCTAATTCAGATAAGAAATCTGTAAACGAGTTGCGGACACTGATGACATGTAGAGATTCTTCTAAATGTGCTTACACTAGTTGTACCTAATGAAAGTTTTGTGATATCTTCTTGAACGAATTGCACATATTCTAAAATTGTTGTTCTTCTCTGTATTTTATCTACAGAAAACACAAAAAGTTCTCTTTTGTTTCATGTGGATACACGATGCAGGGCATTGGTGTGAAATGGTATTGATGCTTTGATACTTTGATTATTTGGGAAAAAAGGGATATGCTATTACACAAAAAGAGTGGTTCACAGCACAAGGCTCCTGTTAATACACATGCAGGAAAGAATTAGATATATAACATTATATGTAACAAAGTTTAACATTATCATATGTTAAAAAATAATTAACTACTCCCCTATGATCTCTCTTATGCTATTTCTGGAGTAGCATGCTTTGCACACCGGTTGTACATTGGGATGGTGCCACCATCAAGCAGCCCATCCAATGGTAATGTAATATCTAGGGTACATACTATGGGAGTATCTTAAAATTTGACTTGACCTACTAATCATGAAAGAAATTTCTGTGCTAGTAATACTAGTGCTTAAAGAATGGAAAGAAGAAAACAAAAAGATATGATAATTGAAGTAACATTAAATTATTTTAATTTCATTAATCATATGAACAATAATGATATAACATAACATATCTAAAGTCATGTAAGCTATCTTTGTGAATCATAGAGCTGGATATAAGATATAATTTCTCTTAAAAAGGATCCATGAAAATATCCTCTAAGAAACCTATATGTTTGTCATCCATCTAAAATCCATTCAAAGATGAACTAATTTTACAAATTATCTTACATGTGTTGGTATCCTGCATGTATTGAGTACAGATACATCAAGCAATCTGAATTATGTGTCCCACAGTTTGTTCTTTTCGTGATCTGACTAGGCAAATGGATCTGTGTACTAATAGAAAAAAGGTCAGACAAGGATTAAATCTGTCGCCGGCAGCTTCCTTGGAGCCTTTGACCCCTGAGTTGCCAAGAGCTCTCTCTTTATCAGAATTTTAGTGATTTCACTACATGTTGCTTGTTATTCACTATTATGTAATATACTTTCCAATAGTTCCTGATTAGATTGCTGAAAGCAGGTAATGCTGATAGCTTAGGAACTGAACTGTTGGAGACCTTATTAAAGATGGCTCCTAGCAAAGAAGAAGAGCACAAACTGAAAGCACATGAGGAAGACTCCCCATTCAAGCTTGGCCCAGCAGAGAAGTTTCTTAAAGCATTGCTAGATATACCATTTGCATTTAAAAGAGTGGATGCCATGCTTTACATTGCTGCTTTCGATTCAGAGGTCAATTTTCTCAGGAAATCCTTTGAAACTCTCGAGGTAAATTATCTATTGTTTCTTCAATATTGTAAAATCAATCAGTGTTATTGATAAAACATAGATCAAGATTTGTCAGATTTAAGGCATTTCCCTATCTTTTTAACTGTATTTGCAATTATCAGGCTGCCTGTGAGGAGCTGAGGAACAGCAGGTTGTTTCTCAGGCTTCTAGAGGCTGTGCTAAAGACTGGAAACCACATGAACGTTGGTACAAATCGAGGTGATGCACATGCCTTCAAGCTTGACACATTGCTCAAGCTAGCTGATGTCAAAGGCATTGATGGCAAGACTACACTTCTGCACTTTGTGGTCCAAGAGATTATCAGAACAGAAGGCTCCCACCTTGCTGCCACAAATAACTGGGCTGCAAATGCACAGGACAATACTCTTCCAGATGACCTAGAGTGCAGGAAGCTTGGTCTCCAAGTCATCACTGGCCTAGAGGGTGAGCTCAGCAATGTAAAGAAGGCTGCAGCAGTGGATTCTGATATGCTCCACAGCTATGTCACGAAACTCGCTGGAGGGATCAAGAAGGTCGATGAGGTGTTGAGATCAAATGAAGAGTTTGGTTCTGAGGAGGGTGGTTGCCGATTCCGTGATGCAATGGATCAGTTTCGAAAGAAGGCAGAGGATGACATCATAAAAGTGCAGGCTCAAGAGAGCGTTGCATTGTCGCTGGTCAAGGAAATAACAGAGTATTTTCATGGAAACTCTGTCAAAGAAGAAGCACATCCTTTCAGGATTTTCGTGGTAGTCAGAGATTTTCTATCCATCCTTGATCAGGTCTGCAAGGAGGTGGGAAGGATAAATGAACAAGCTGTTGTCAGCTCATCACGGCAGTTTCCTGTCCCCATTAACCCAACCTTATCACCTGCTTTTCTAAGATTTCATGCATTGAGACCCAAAAGGTCCGACGAGGAAAGCTCAAGGTCGTCGTAGGATGATGCTTATGACTGCCATATTTGGGTGAAACTTTTACATGAGTTTATTAGCTGGAGGTGTAGCAGCTATGAAATTAGTAGAGTACTAATGTCATATCTTGCTCTTATCTATACACAAAGGAAATCTAGATTAGAGAGAGAATAAGTTTGGCTTCACTAGCTTGCATTGTGTACATCTATGATCAAAGGTTGCTTCTCTGATAACATTCTTTGAAGTTGTATCAAATTATACATAAGATGAGATGAGTTTACAGCTCCAATTCACTGCATGTATTATGCCATATCTTCTAGATGTTATGGCATTTATTATGTTTAAATAGCCAAAGAGTTTGGGAATAACAGTTATTATGATTCAGTTGTCAACCAAGTGGTTTAGTTTTGTGGAAGAAATCATCATATGAAATATACCTGTTTGATTGGATCACAAAATATTTTGCATTTCTAATTTCATTATTAAAGCATACTAATTGCCTTCTTACTACCACTGAGGATGTTTTCAGATCTATTCTTCCTTTTGATTCATTGATTAAACAAGATGATCTATATTACTTCATATTTTGAACCATACTAATTATGCAATTACGATCCGCGAGTCAATCCGCATACATTCACTCGTCAAGAGTTATAATTCATTTGGATGTTTTAAGGATATGATTTCTATTTTTGATCACCATGCTTACAAGAATAAACAATAATAAACTTAGATTTTAAATAATAAATTAAAAATAAAAGTAGAAAAATATGTATTAAAACTAAATTTCAAAGGATAAATAAGAAAAAAAAAGAGAAAGTGTATATATATTAGTTCCGCATCACTTTCACAATAGATAGAAAAGAAGAATCAAAGATCAAAAGGGCTCACCACATAACCAAATCTCGTTGACAAATTAGGTGAAGGCATACTTCTCTAGAGATGCAATGCATTTGGAAGATATTTGTAGGTTAATATCCATCACTTTCTCTCTATTTTTCAACGGTGGAAACATCACATAAGTTTCGTCAACATATAAGCTAGAGTATCTTTGTAAAACTTGTTATGTTCTTTCCTGAGAGAGCAATGATCGAGTCGATGACTTTAACTCACGATAGAGACTCCTAAGTTATGAGTTACGAAATATTTCTCTCGTGACAATCAATTTCTTTTAAGATATCAAATGCAATTTTCATCTACTAGTTTTGTCCGATAGAATAGCTTTCACCAATTAGATAAGTGTCATCATCTCATATGTTATTTGTTGTAATACTTTTTTTTTTAATATAAAAGTATATATTTTATCTCCTATACGATTTTAATTTTCTTACTCATATATATATATTTTTAATATATTTTTTTCAAGCATACAAGATTAAGATTTAGATTTAATCTATACGAGCAATCATCGATCTAAGCGATTGACCATTTATTTTTGTATGCAAGAAACCGAAATAATCAATTATCGTACACATTAAATAAAATGGCATGACCCTCAAAGTAACTAATCATACCTCAGACATATATTTAATGAAACATGGAAGTAATACCTTTTTGGATGTGTGGTCTCAAAACAAAGAACTTAGACTCACCCAAAAAACAATAATCTGCAAAATAATCACCAAAGGTGTTCTATGCAATAGATAAATGAAGCATACAACGAACTTAGGAGCTTACCTACCAATTATTCTTTGGACACATAACTTGAATGATTCCCAATTGACATGGTGTGTACATAATGAGCCATGTGTTCATGTACATCCATGTGAGGAATGTTACCTTTATGTCTCTCAAAGATGAAGCACATATTGTCAGTCACATGCACTGGTGTGGAACATGATGACCCACATGAAATATTTTTGCTTGCATCTCCATATAACCTAATCTTTTGTTTCCTCATTCAATTCAAGCATAAAATGTTGGGCTTGAGTTATTGTGCTATAATGGGCAAAAAAATAGAGCATAAGTAGGAAACCCTATCTCACCTATCAGATTAGAGTCACTAAAATTTAATTTAGTATCACAAGAACTTGGCAAAATTTTATTCTCAAGTATAGTTGATACTATGTTTTCTTATGATTTATATAGTGTTATTGATAGGCTTTTCTAGGCACTTTGTTTGATATAATCTTTTAAAAGTTTTTACTTGAATTGGTTTTATGTGTGGAGTTATTAGAAAAAGATGAAAAAAAAAGACATACCTTTATTTGTAAATAATTAAATATACTTTTGATAGAACATAAAATAATAAAAAAATAATTAGTATTAATTAGAAGATGTAATATAATTATTATTAGTGGTACGAAGAGAGGTAGAAGGAAGTTACTGGAAACTACTGTAATAAAGATTTAAATATTTTTAACGTAACTAAGAATGTGATTTTTTTTTTATTATGAGATACAATTTGTTATAACTTTATGACTTTTTTTTTATAGTGAAAAGAGAAAAACAAAGAAAAAATTATACCTATGCTCCATTACGAACCTGAAAAGAGATGAACTCAATAAGCCAACAGCTGTGTAAGAAGAGATAGATAAAAACATTAAACCAACATGAGCTGTAATAATAACACAACTAAATCTTAGAATAATTCCAACATCTCTTGGCCTTCATTGTTTCAAGGTGTTCTATTCAAGCACCAATATTTATGATCCAAGCCAACACCACTTGTTTTAATGGGTCAAACTCTTTTTTTTTTTGCTTCCCATGCACACTATAGATAATGTTTGATGATGCAGTGTTGATTTTGATAGTTGCAAAATATCATTAGGAGCCCAAAGATGAAATATTTGGTTCCCAACCTCTGCATCTGCATCATGCATCATGCAGCTGAAGACTCTGATCTGAAGTAGGTGGTAAGGTACATCCAAATATAAAGCATATTTATTATGTTTTTGTGTTTACCGCGAAGATAAAATAAGGAAGAATCATCTGAGATATAATTAATATGTTTTAAGGAGATGCGCAAAATATTAAAACTAGACAAAATAAAAAAAAATAATAATATAAGATATATTTTAAGAAAACCTGATATATCGCGGTTAGATAAAATGAAAAAAAAGAGAGTAAATTTTAGGAGTGCGACGAGATGGAACAAGATCTAAAAATTTTACTAGAAATTATAAATCAATAAATTTAACTAGGCATATTGTTTTATGTATAAATCAATCAAAAAAAGCAGACACATGCTTGTTTTTGGTATTATTATTGTTGTGTTCACTAACCTGCTGTGGCATCTAAGTGTTATACAGTAAGTCCTTTCCTGCTGCTAATGAATTGGTCAAAATGTTGCTTCTCATGCACACTACAATTGTTGAGATGTAGCAGACTTTGATAGTTGCAAGTTATCAGAAAGAGCTCAAAGCTGAAATATTTGGTCCCCATCTTAGTTCATCTGCCTATATGAACTAGATGACAAGGTCCCCCCACCAAGATGAACATATCTTCAATGTTTTGTATTCATTATCTTGTCTTTGAAATGTTTTTCTTTTAACTTGATGTGTGGAAGTCAAGTCTTGTAACAATGGAACATTAAATATTTTGCATCAACCATACCACTTCACACTTCAGTGTAAAACTACAATAATTGAGTTGTGTGCAAACTAGAAAGAGCATATATGAGTCATTGTCATTTTTGGAGAGTATCTAAATGTTTTACCTAATAATATGATCTCAAAATGAACTTGAGGCTAATCATAAAGGAAGACATTTTATACACTGAAGGATGATTTGTTGTGGACAGAAGAAGCCAAAGTCCAGTGTTGTTTTTTATTTGAAAATGACCAAATTTTTATTAGCAAGATTTAAAGCAATAGCAATATTGGTTTAAAGATAATTGGATGACAATGACAAGTGATGATGATCATATTTTTCTAGTCAAAGCAAAAAAATTCTTTTAAGTGCATAAAAGAAGAATTTTTTATTTCCTTGGACACAATAAAAAAAAATTGATGGATGATGATTTCATATAATTTTTTGAGATACAATTACTTTATTAACACAGTAAGAATAAATTTGATCAAGTTACATATATACACCTCCAGAAAATGATTATCATATTTATCCCTTTAATCTAAGTTTTGCATATATATATATATATATATATAATATTTTAAATCAGTTAGTTAATGTTAAAGAAAAATAGTTTGAATTTTTGAATGAATTTTAATATTTAATGTTCTATATTCCTTTTTTTTTTGAAGAATAAATATTTCTATAAAAAAATATGTTGATGTTTGATAAAAGAATATGAATTTACCAAAAGGGAAAATATTGTACTGAGAAATTGATTAAATGGGTGACAAAAAAAAAAAGTATTTATCTTCTTAAAAAAATAATGCCCAAACTACTGAGTGAGACAGAACATATTAAATGAGTCAACACGCAAGACTTCACAATGGAGTGGCCACCTTCTCCTGCTCCCACCGGAATCTTTCGTCCGTCACTGCTTGGTTTGGAGTCCTGTGCCCGCAATGGCCCCTCCTACCCCTCGTTGACGTTGATCGCTGTAGCCGCCTTCATTGGCTATCTCGCTAGCCACAGGCTGATTCGACTCCGCCAAAGCCGTGGCACAAAACCGTGAAGTCGACGCGCACGATCATTCGGCGCAAAGCAATCGTTTTGCTCGGTCAGCACAAGGGTGGAAGGTCGATAGGCGGGGCATCTTTTCCCTGTTCAAGGTTTGGTTCTAGAAGCACAAGGTGAAAAGGAGAATGATGAGGCAAAAAAGAGAGGTCCTTGATGCCCCACTGTGAGTCTTCTTTGCATCTGCTGTGTGAAATATCCTGGTTGCGAAGAGGCCGAGAGAGTGATTTTTCTGATAGGAATCCGATAAAGCTTGGATTTTTAGCTTTTGTGGGGTATTGGGTTCTGGGTTTCGGTCGTAAAGGTACCTCCTATGCCTGAAGAACCTTTGTTAGCTTAGTTTGATTGTTTTTGGGGGTTTTGTGGTTGGTGGTGTTCCTGAGATTCGACGGGTTCTTTTGTTTGTCTGTGAAGAAGAGAACAAGAGTTTCATTGTTGGGGCTTCTCCTCTAAATCCTGTCTTTTTCTTTGTTCCTTGTGTTTGGTAGGGAGGAGGTAATTTTTCTCTGTTTGGGGCTTTTGATGCGGGAAATTAGGTTTTTCCACCTTCTTAATCGAGAGTGGTTTGTGGGTTCTGTTGTTCTGTAGGCGACTGATCTGAACCCCGATCCATGACATCTGATGTTTTGATAGAATAAGGGCTGAGATGAATCTTTAAGTTTCTGGTAATTGAAGTTTGAGCTGAGTGATCAGTGAGGTTTCTCGTTGCCCTAACATCTGGTTTGGATTCTTCACGGATAAGAAGAATCCTTGTCACGCTAGATTTTCTGGCCACAGTTTTCCGTCTGCAGTTTTCTTGGCTGAGAGATAGAAGAAGAGGAGGGA